AATTTTATAATTGTTGGTAATGAGATTTTGGCACATTTTTTACAAAAAGAAAGGTGAAAGTTAAGATTTGTTGACATGTGAATTGTCTATAATGTATTTGGGTGTGCAGGATCATATGGATCTGCTACTAGATGCTGTTAAAATGAATGATGAAACGCTGGCTCATCACTTCTCTGAATCGGAGCACTGGGCGACACTTGATCAGCTCTGCAGTAAGTATAAAACTAATTTGGCTGTAAATAAGTACTAATATGAAGAATTTTTGGTCTTGTAACATATTCTTTATTATGGTTTATTATTCCATAACGACCTGCATCGATTCGAAGCATCCGTGCATTCTTTACCATCAAACATGAAATCTAAACCCTTTTGAGAGTCAAAACATGAAGGTTCCCATAAAATGTGCCATACCATTAAGCATACTCATCTGTGTGGTGTAATTAATCTCATTGTTTAGTTTTCGCTTTGCATTGTAGGGGGCAAATGTTTTTTTTCTTATGTGCTAGGCTAATATAACAAGTGTTCACGCCTCAGTTTACTTACTCATCAGTCCATCGTGCCCCTGTGGATTCGTGGAAGGTTGCTGATTGCGTGTTCCCCGCGTGTGCGCACGCTGTGATTGCAGAGAACGTGATTGTGCAGCCGCGCGGTGGCGAGTTTGAATCCATGGGTGCTGCCGGAGGTTTCTCACAGTCCTCGTCAGCGGCGGTGTGGGCCTGCAAGCACTGCACATACAACAACCCACCTGGCACGGCACAGTGTGAAGTGTGCAGCCTTCCCCGCTCTTGAGAGAGACTCTGCCAGGCACACAAATGCCATTGCAAAGGCCAACGCAGGCGCAGGCTTGGCTGACAAAGAACCCACTTGCAACTGCTGTGGCTGCTGAAAGCATGTGTGTCCTTTCTGCATTCAATCTGCCACGCACAGGATAGTCGTTGCCTTCATGAAGTTTTTCTTTTGACGCATGTTCCCTGGAACATCAAAGCTACAGGATGCAAAAAAAGACAAATCATCGTGTTTGCCCGGTTTTCCTCCTAATTATGTTTTGACGGACATTCACAGCCGCAGCTCTTGAGTTTATCATATTTTTTCCCAGACATTAGAGCAACTTGATTTCTGTTCGTAGCAATTAAATGTCAACTGTATCAATTAAAAAAACAACAGCATTTTATAAAATTTCAAGCAAAGAATGTTACATGATCAGTGTTGGTATTAGTTACAGACAGCTATAATCGAATTTTAAATTATTTACTTTAAACATTTAAGGCTTATTTACCAGCAGCTGTTATTTTTCAAGTGAAAAAATCCCTATTATTGCAAGACTCATTAATTCAGCAGTATCTCGACAGGGTCAGGTCCTAGGGCTGCTGTAACCTCAATGTCTGGCTGAAAAGCTGCCGTACATAAAGTGAAAATTGGTGTATAGTAAGAGATTTGGCAAAAACGACGGTAACATTGCAACTTTATCATTGAATAAAATATCACTTTAATTTGTTCAGTGTTAGATTTTAAAGATGTGCATTTGTTTTATAGATTTCCTGTCAAACTAGTAATTCCTCCACCAGAAAGTGGCAAGATGCGTGGGTTTGGTTGAAATATTTGATTTTTTTCGCTCTGTCATTCCAGTGGTTTATATGCGCTGGAGGGGCTATACTTCACAGCATTTGCACTTCCAGTAGTAGAGCTAGACCTGCGATGAAGTGCTGGGGATGCCTTGCTTATTGCGCCTAAGCCCATGTGACAATAGTGAATAATTAACTAATACATCAGCGCTGTACATCCATACAAATTACACCAATACTACAGATCCACTTTTGTGGCAAGTTGAGGGGACCTTTTTGAAATTAATATCAACAATTCATTGTACGATTTCAAGAATATGTATATTTAATTTATGATAATGAAAAATTAGTTGATTTTTTATTTTACATTTCGGTGTGTTATGCAGGAGACATTCTGTAAATGTAATTTTTGATGTTAAATTTGACATTTCTGAGTACCTTTCTTCTTGACAATGTGGAAGTCACCTGTGTTTTGGATGTTAAAAATATCCATGTTTGTAGCAGTTTGTCAGTGCATTATCGCACCTCGGATTAGCATTGTTGGCTACGTACGTTGCAAAATAATTTCAACCTACATACATACACCAGCATGTGACTGACTGGCATGAACCATCAAAGTGATGTCTGATAACCAGTTGAGTTTGTGATGCATAAGATCAAGCTTAAGACTCCAGCTGCACGGTCCGCCTAAGGAATTAGAACAAAGTATACATCGACCCCATTATGTTACAAATGAGAATTTCAATAAGAGACTTTGTAAAAACTAAGTTGACGTTTAAATTTGACACCTTAAATATATCGCAATGAATTCTCCATCCATTGTACTGCTTTATTTATGTATCCCTAAAGTGGTCTTTTGGGCGAATTCCGTATTTGAATGCTTGTTTTTTTTTCTGCTAAAGAGTGTCTAGCTCTGCTACTGTGCATTTCCTTCAGGTTGCTGAATAAAGAATCCTTTAAATGAGTGCATATTTCTTGCCTGAAAATAATAAACACCGAGTGGAATGGTTGTAGGAATATGAATTCCATGAGGTGGAATTCTAGGTTAACCTCTGGTGTCTCAGATGATGAATACTTGTAGGAAAAGTTAAATTGTTTGACAGCATTTTACGAAAATAACTCGCACCCCGTGATTTTCTGCTAAAATGACCATTGAGACGGTGCTCCTCTCCTTTTGACAGTCCTGGGTCAGTGTGGAAATTCCACGTAGCTATGGTGTGGGCTCGCTTCCTGCTTGGACAACCACTGATGATTTTACCCGAAAAGTGGTACTTATTTCATTGACCCCAAATGGATGATGGGCTGAGTCAACCCCATCCAGGATTTGAGCTGGCAACCTTTCTATCGCGGAGCTACCTAATGGACTGTTTTACAGTTCAGTGCACTGTAATAAAATGTATCATCCGTTCAGTAAATGGTATCAACGAGACTCAAGGTCTCGATATTTTACAATGTTGAAAAGGAAGTTTTCTGTTGTGCAAATGTGTTCAGGTGTAACTGCAATACAAGCACGTTCCAGTGGGGACAACTCAGAGATTTCTATACTCTTTGGTTCTATTGGGTAAAGTCACGTAGGTAAAAAATAAAATAACAAAGATCACGACGTTTCGACCACAACACAAGTGGCCTTCATCAGGTGAAGGGACCAACCTGTCCGGAGGACAGCGTTGGAGTGAAAAAAGTCAAGCGCAGGTCGCCTCCTTTAAGATTTCTGTCCCCACTATTGCCCCGTATGAGCATGTTTAGATTGCTCTTGTTGGTCTCGGTATGAGTGGCATTTGGTAGAAACCGTTTGACCTTTATTTAAAACATTAATAGAGTGCTACTTTTTAAAGTGACATTAATGTCAATTCCATTTTAATCCAAGCTATTCATATTTTAATTTGTATGACTTGCATTTCATCATGAATACAATGTTCTTTTGTCCCAAAAATTGCATTAATTAAAGTGGATAGACTAGTATTTGAGGAAAAGCCTTGGCATCCGCAAGTGACGAGTGTAACATTTTGTGCATTTGATCTGCCTGTTGTATTCACAGTACAATATTTCTAATTATTTAGAATAACTTCCCATTACTCTTGATCACAATTTAGGTTTATACCTGTTGAACATTGCATCCAAAAGTGTACACATTCCACACGTCCTCATTTTCATATCTAAGCTATTATAGCGCACATGCTATGCAAGTTGTAACCAATGTGACAATCTGTAGTCAGTATTGTATTCTACTAATGCAGCTTTTACCGCTGTTAGAAGATAGGGTCGTATTCACAAATGGCTCAGAAAATCTCTGCGTAAATGTTTATATAATGAAGGCAGGTTTGTGCTCTACAGTATACAGTGCTAAACCGATGTAGTGATTGAAACATACTGCATGTTGGCTCCGTGTGTAGTTACGGGAGGCACAATGAGTATTTATCTTTATGTTTGAAAATCTAAAATGTTATAGTTTTCATCAGACGTCTCACATTTATTATTTTAAACGAACGTCCATTTGTCTTATATTAATTTATTACAGCAGTGTTACCCGGATTACATTAAGCCCTTAAAACCAATAATATCCCATATGTTTGTGTTATATTATCATGTACGGTAGAAGGTTTGTAGGTTTTATATTGGAGATACTGTATTGATAGTCGTGCAGTAAAGCCACTGACTGGTCCAAAACTCGATACTGCCCGATTCACTGCGGTACCATTTCACATTAAAATACTGCCGTTAAAGCGTTCAAATACGACCTTATCATTAGCGTCGTTGTGGAGAAGATAACACAAATTACCAAGACAAATCACCTTCCATAATTTAGTATTATTGTATTTTTACAGAGTATTATATATAATTGTGCGTCGTTCTTGGACACACCATATCTGGTGTATTCGGTAAGGTCCTTGCCTATGAACATCTGGCAGTTTTTCCAGCAATACTCTTTGGTTCTTTCGGTAAAGTCACGTAGGTATAAAAAATAAAACAAATTGTATACTTATTACGTGACTTTACCGAAAGAACCAAAGAGTTATGGATCCCTGCAGTCACGAAAACTTCAAATCTAGATTTCCAGCAAATATTTGAGGCAAGCCTGACTGCTGATGACACACCGAATGTCGAACTCGGTCCAGAGTTTCCTTGGCTTGAATCAATGCCGCTGAAACGTCGCTTCCGAGTGACCGATAGAACGTGTAACAAAAAAAACAACACATTTTTATTACGGCTATGGGAATGGGGCAAATTTTCTGGGCGTTTGCGTTGTCACGACCGCGCGTGCACGGAGAACGTTGCTCGGCACCACGCCAGTGAAGAGCGGCAGGAACCAACAAGATCGCGTCGCGCTCTGTAAGGCAAGAGGAAGTTTTTTTTTGTTGTTGCTGCATACAGGTGGTATTTTCCCCGGCCAGGTGAACGCCTACATACTTGTACAAACCCCCACTCCAACACACACACACGCCTCTTTCTTTTGTCCCCTCTCTCTCTCTCTCGAGTGCTCTCTTCCCATTTCTTCACCGTTGTTATATGTGAACAAGAGTTTTAAAGATTCATACGCAGTTGCCTCTGCGACTACGCAGGCTTGGTTGCTTGGTCCCCCCCCTCCCACCACGTTCCCTACCACCCTCTCCCCGCGGCTTTGGCAAGCGCACGCCGGGCGTGAGCGCTTGTGCCAGGCATGCAGGCAATCAAGTGTGTGGTGGTCGGGGATGGGTACGTCTTCTCACCGTCTCACACCTATCTCTCTCTCGCTGTGCGTGCGTGTGTAGGTCGACTCAGCCTCTGTCTAATGCTGTCCTTAAAGTGTGTAACCAACCGTCGGTGTATACTTGAGTGAAGTTGAAGGTCGTAATGGGTGGTGCTGTCGGTACTATGTGTCTATGATGTGCGTCAATGTTGAACTTCTTTCGCGACTCACGTCGTCAACCGTGCTTATGGGAGGTGCGCGGGGCAGGACGACAAACTGAAAGATGAAAAGCAGTTCTAATGAAATGCGTTTTCAATTTAGAAGATGGTATTCCAGCGTACGTAGTTTTAAAAAAAAATGCATGCGAGTGTGTCGCCGCATTCGTACGGTTCGCTGACGGCACTTGCCCCAAACGTCTGTGACGGCTGTATGTAGTGGGGAGGGGAATCTTTCTTCCTTTGTACGGTTCAGCGTAGCGGAGAAGTCGCTCGGCACAAAGTGGAGCGAAGAGCTGATGCGTTAAAACCGCTTGCGCTGAGCGCGTAACGCCCGGGTCGGCTGCTACGTTTCGTCTACAAGATATTCAAAGTGTGAATGGAAAGATATTCAAAGTGTGAATGGAAAGATATTCAAAGTGTGAATGGAAAGATATTCAAAGTGTGAATGGAGGAAAGGTGGCGGCGAGTTTGAAAGTCTCGGACGGGCGCTCGCGTCGGGCCGAGTGGCCTCTTCCACCCTTTCGAGAAATCCACACGGGGTGGAGTACGGACAGCTCTGTTCTGTGTCCGTCTTCGCTTACACATCATAACGCTCTTTGGGGCTTCTTACTACAGTTGCAGATTCCCGTGTGGGATCTCAGAGCCACCCGCAATTCGTTTCAGGTCCCATAGCTTTAAGCACGAGATTACATGTCAAAGTGATTATATATGTGACAATTTTTCAGAAATGTTTCACATTTTGTGAACTGAATCCGTTGCATACATTGTGTAGTCCCGCGTATGCTGTCATGGTGCATTGGTAACGGATCGTCATTGTAGAGGCTTCATTAGATATTTCAAAAAGATACATGTTCATACCTGCTCTGTTCTCCTTATCGCAGTAGCGACCTGGAGACAAAGGTCGCAAATCGCATCTACCCCATGGAGTGACAGACCTTGTGGTAACCATGTACTGACCACAGCGTGCTATTAATTGGACATCTGAAACTTACATATGTGTGGCACAGGCAAATCACTCCAAAACCTCATCTGTCACTCCGAAGCCAATCTAGCCGAAGGATATTACAGAGGAATTCAGGGTAAAGCAATGTTTCCGCTTTCAACGTCAGTTCGTGCCGGCTGGGTACAGCTCACACATCACTTGCTGCTAAAGCGTGCATTTCTTGTTTATACGCATACTGTAGCGGTGGTCTTTGTTCAAAGCCAGGTTACAATGCGTTTGGAATTTACTTATGACCAGTGAATAGACGCTTGATGGAACAAGAATGAGGAAGAAAGCTAATTTTAAAACGTATCCACGAAAAAGTATATATTTTTTTACCTTGATCGGCTTCTTAAAATAACTGTTGTGCTGCACATATGTACGCCATGTAAATATAGTGACACGCCATTTCATAATGGGGAATTGTGACCATCCCTACAAGCTCATACTTGGAGAAAATCACTTCAAAGGCAGGGAATTTGAGGGTAATGGACCTCGTGGTCGAAGGACTGCTAGTTGCACTTAGAACAGTGCATTTGACACAAGGCAAGAGAATAGGGAGCAAAGACGTATCTATGCCAGGCACACAGACGATAACAAATTACTCATGTTCAGTCAAGCCGCACTGCCATTTTACAGCAAGATTGGCATCATGATCACAACACGAGTTCCATTTTAAGTTTTTTTTTGGCTTCTCATTAGGTCTGCGTATGTGCTAGTTCATACAGTGAGGGAAAAAAGTATTTTATCCCCTGCTGATTTTGTACGTTTGCCCACTGACAAAAAAAATGATCAGTCTATAATTTTAATGGTAGGTTTATTTGAACAGTGAGAGACAGAATAACAACAACAAAATCCAGAAAAACGCATGTCAAAACTGTTATAAATTGATTTGCATTTTAATGAGGGAAATAAGTATTTGACCCCTCTGCAAAACATGACTTAGTACTTGGTGGCAAAACGTTGTTGGCAATCACAGAGGTCAGACGTTTCTTGTAGTTGGCCACTAGGTTTGCACACATCTCAGGAGGGATTTTGTCCCACACCTCTTTGCAGATGTTCTCCAAGTCATTAAGGTTTTGAGGCTGACGTTTGGCAACTCGAACCTTCAGCTCCCTCCACAGATTTTCAATGGGATTAAGGTCTGGAGGCTGGCTAAATTAATGTGCTTCTTCTTGAGCCACTCCTTTGTTGCCTTGGCCGTGTGTTATGGGTCATTGTCATGCTGGAATACCCATCCACGACCCATTTTCAATGCTCTGGCTGAGGGAAGGAGGTTCTCACCCAAGATTTGACGGTACATGGCCCCGTCCATCGTCCCTTTGATGCGGTGAAGTTGTCCTGTCCCCTTAGCAGAAAAACACCCCCAAAGCATAATGTTTCCACCTCCATGTTTGACGGTGGGGATGGTGTTCTTGGGATCATAGGCAGCATTCCTCCTCCAAACACGGCGAGTTGAGTTGATGCAAAAGAGCTCCATTTTGGTCTCATCTGACCATAACACATTCACCCAGTTGTCCTCTGAATCATACAGATGTTCATTGGCAAACTTCAGACGGACATGTATATGTGCTTTCTTGAGCAGGGGGACCTTGCGGGCGCTGCAGGATTTCAGTCCTTCACGGCGTAGTGTGTTACCAATTGTTTTCTTGGTGACTATGGTCCCAGCTGCCTTGAGATTATTGACAAGATCCTCCCGTGTAGTTCTGGGCTGATTCTTCACCATTCTCATGATCATTGCAACTCCACGAGGTGAGATCTTGCATGGAGCCCCATGCCGAGGAAGATTGACAGTTATTTTGTGTTTCTTCCATTTGCGAATAATCGCACCAACTGTTGTCACCTTCTCACCAAGCTGCTTGGAAATGATCTTGTAGCCTATTCCAGCCTTGTGTAGTTCTACAATCTTGTCCCTGACATCCTTGGAGAGCTCTTTGGTCTTGGCCATGGTGGAGAATTTGGAATCTGATTGTTTCTGTGGACAGGTGTCTTTTATACAGGTAACAAGCTGAGATTAGAAGCACTCCCTTTAAGAGTGCGCTCCTAATCTCAGCTCGTTACCTGTATAAAAGACACCTGGGAGCCAGAAATCTTTCTGATTGAGAGGGGGTCAAACACTTATTTCCCTCATCTTGGCCATGGTGGAGAGTTTGGAATCTGATTGATTGATTGCTTCTGTGGACAGGTGTCTTTTATACAGGTAACAAGCTGAGATTAGAAGCACTCCCTTTAAGAGTGCGCTCCTAATCTCAGCTCGTTACCTTATAAAAGACACCTGGGAGCCAGAAATCTTTCTGATTGAGAGGGGGTCAAATACTTATTTTCCTCATTAAAATGCAAATCAATTTATAACATTTTTGACATGCGTTTTTCAGGATATTTTGTTGTCATTCTGTCTCTCACTGTTCAAATAGACCTACCATTAAATTACAGACTGATCATTTCTTTGTCAGTGGGCAAACGTGCAAAATCAGCAGGGGATCAAATACTTTTTTCCCTCACTGTATGTAAGACGATGTCTTCATGTGTTATTTCCAAGTTTTGTCAGGATGCTTTGGCAACAGCTTTGCTGTTCAGTTGTGTCTGGGAAAAGGCGTTCGCGTGACATCGAAGGAGCTCATTTCAACGGCTGCACTGATTTAAGCTGAGGAATTGTAGCAAAACCAATTTGTGCTGCATATTACAGACCATAGCGCGTAACGACTGTACTTGAAGTCTTATTTTTCAAACTAATGTTGTCCTGTACACAGCAGTTCGGTTTAACAGTGGAAATCGACTGTGAAGTATATCTGGGTGGGAAAACAAATGGCAATGTTTCTTCAAAGACAACGAACTAACATGCGTTATATGCAGGGCCGACATGTTCGTAGACCAGGACTTCTAAAGTGCATTGACAATTTGTCTGACAATGTTAAATTTCAATAGCTTTACACAGATCCTAAGAGGTGTACAGAGAAAAAGCAAATACATTTAAATGCAATTTTCTTGATTCAATTAAATAAGATAATTTCTTTAAAAACATATTTTTGAAGATGGGTACATTGTCATATTTACAATAACAAACAAGAGGCTGGTCCCTCTCATTATCTCGGTTCACCATATGTGGCGTAATGTGGAAAACCTTTGGATTGTTGCATTCCCTCATGCTTTCAGCTGACCTTCATCAGAGGTCCTGGCAGTTTGAATTGATTTCATGTCAAGTCAACCGAGCAGAGTATGGAGGCATGGGAGCCGATTGAATCGTGGGTGTAGGAGGCTGCTCGTGGTCGTGGAAGCGTGGATCCACCAGGATGGAAATGGAACGTGCAGTTCATTAACAATTATGCGAGAGCTCACAAGTAAACATCTACAGAGGAGTTGACGGTGGTGTTTGTGCACTTTGTGTCAGTGCGGTGGGAAAGACGTGCATGCTGATCAGCTTCAGCAACAACACCTTCCCCGGGGAGTACATTCCGACAGTGTGAGTTATCCCTTTGTTGCCAATGGCAGCAAAAAAATATTTAAAACACCTTTTACATGTAAACGTTTTGTTTCTGTGGAAGTAGGCGTTATTGCAGAGCAAAATGTGAAGAAAATGCATTGTCTACATTATTGATACTGTTCGCCGTGTTTTATTATACATTGAGAATAAGTTTACCACCACCTGTCCTGCTAATCCCAGGTTCATCCTCTCTATTTGGGGTAGTTGTCCTGAGAAATTTGTAAATTTCCCGGAACATTAAATGGGCTGCTTATTTGTCATTTGTGTAATAATTCACCACTTAAGGCAACACATTTACCCACAGTTCTCGCTTCTTTTGGTATGATGAGACATTCTTCCCCCCATGATATCCTGTTTTTGTGTACCTCAGGCGGCAGTGCTCCTTGAGTCCAATGCCAATTCGTGAAGCATGGCTGTTTCGCGTAAAAGTAATGTACACACTTGCGTGTTGTGTAACATGCTCGACATGCCAAAGTACATGGCATTCTTTCGTAAATAAAGGAGGCGCGTGAGTGAGAGACTGCATCCCCATGCTGTACACTCGGTAGAAGTGAGGTTGTGTGTACATGTGGCGTGCTTGCATCAAACAGGTTCGACAACTACGCCGTCAATCTTATGGTTGATGGAAAATACGTGAACCTGGGGCTCTGGGACACTGCAGGGCAGGAAGACTACGATCGGCTGAGGCCGCTCTCTTACCCACAGACGGTACGGTGTCCACGTCCACACCCGTGGATACATCCTCACCCATGTTCTTGTACACACGCTTATGTAAGGATTGTTTACATCCGTGTAAATCTGTCTCCCTGCTGTGACACGTCGTGACTTGGCACTCGCCTCCATGCGCAGCAATCAGCCAATGCTGGCAATGACACATCCCATAGCAGGCACCACTGGTCTCTGGATATATGGTTTCTGAGGCAGTGGTTATGATTGTATTAGCTCTAGAGAGATGATGACAGATTTGAACTTGCAGCCTGCCACATATACGTCGAATGCTCTGATCACATTGCTCCCAAGCTGGCTTACATCAGTATCGATGCATATATGTACAGTGTTGGGAATACTTTTACCTGTGTACTGAAGAGAGACAAACAACGAGCTCTCCCAGTGTTATTCTAAGCTTGCTATCAGCTTCATTACATGAGACAACGTGTCAATTCAGAACTCTTGTAGTGAAAGTCATCTCCCAATTTGTTAGAGAATGGTTTGTAGAAGGGATATCAGAGCTACAGTAGTGAGATTCTTTCAAGTGACCGATTTCATCCATACTCGTAGGCACTGGCACTTGTCCACACACCATGCACAGAGAAATCTATGTTGCATGGCAGTCCAACCAATATATTTTATTATTTATAAAAGCTGTAATGTAGCCACATTAAGTGAAAACCCTAATTTATTATTGTGATGGATTTTTTTTCGCGCATTGATAACCACGAAGAGACCCATCAACTCTCTGCACTTTAGAACACAGTTTAATCACCCAGATTCAAAGCCAGGATTCTTTGGTGCTGGCTCATTGGTCTCAATCTTGACCCACCCAGCCACCTCCGTGGCTCCTTGTGTATTCTTTCTTACATCATCAGAGTGAGAAATGAGACTTGACCTATAGGCAAAGGTCGCCTTATGGGTGATACGCTGTGTTTGAAAAGGTGTACTTTTTCTATTTGCCGTACATTTATAAAGGTCTCCTAGATGACCTGGACACCGAGCATATGGCATTCACTACAAAAAATATATTACATTTGCCTCTATATATCATACATATTTTTCACTGTGGATACGCTTAAGCATTGAAATGTTAATTAAGTGTACTGTTTCGTTGTAGTATATGCATTTTTGCACTTGCTGACGCAAGTAAGTATTATTATTTGATCGGTAAAACTATGCAGCTAACTCTCTCTTTGCTTCTTTAGGACATTTTTCTCATTTGCTTCTCGGTGGTGAGCCCATCTTCCTATGACAACGTACGCGTAAAGGTATGGCAACAGTACGTGTTTATATATTTAATTTTTGGATTTTTTTTTTTTTTTATCCCAAATGTTATCCAAATTGTGCGTTTGGTGTCATATGAGATGAAAACTCCATTCGCATCTCTCTTGGAACAGTTCAACTCTTAAATTTTGAAAGTTAAGTTAATTATTTATCCAGGAAGTCACACTGTGTAATATGACTTTTTTTCAGGAGGATCCTGCATTGGCATTAAAATTTTAGATATTTTCACCGAGTTAATACGTGTTCATACATGAAATTGGCAACTCATGGAATAAGATGTCAGAAATACGTCTGATATCCCATACAGTGACCTCCATGTGGCCCACGCGGTAGAAGGGAGCACTTCCGCATCTGCTCTGCTTACGGGGCAATGTTTGTCGCTTTGCTGCAGATTTTTTAAACATTGCACAGTGCTGTATTTAAGTGTTCTGGATGCGGTAGCTTTGATTTTTACATTTATCTTGCTTTTCGCTATTACATTACAATCGTTTGAAAACGACGTCATCAATCTTACGGTTGATGGTAAACATGTGAACATGGGGATGTGGGACACGGCTGGGCAGGTAAGATTATGATCGGCTGAGGCCGCTCTCATACCCACAGACAGTACGGTGTACATGTCTACACACGTGTGTTCATCCTCACATATAAGTATCCACGTCATGAAATAAAGGAATGTCCATTCACAACATGCAGAAAGCAGTGTACCACCCCAACCTATAATATTACCTCTGGAAGGTGATATGATAAACATACTTCTAAGACCCATTTTTCTCTGATCCAAGTGGTGACGCACCTTTTGACATCCGGTGCTTCATCGATCCCGACTGTGAATCTCCTGCCAACTACATTTGTCTGTAAAACATAGCACCTTTGTGATAGCTTTGCACTATGATAATGGTACAAGTACCAATTGGTTTAATGTATTATATGCCTTGCAATTTTGTGCACAAACCAAGAATAGATGAGTATTTTTTCTCACCTACATAACTCTGTTTATTTGCATCAATTAACAGGCACTTTGCTTATAACCTAAAAGACATAAGTTGCAGACAAATAATTTCATTATTACAGTGTTACAATTCTTCCATGCAACATGCGATATTGTTTCAATCATTACATACACAAAATCACAACAAAGCAAAGCAGAGAATATCCTGCGCATCCCTCAAATGTATCCCCATGTCCATATACAGCCTTCATTCTATGAAGTTCACCAAGTGTTTCCGGTTTAATCTGTGTGCCTAGGATGCGGTATGATTAATGTGTGTGCAGAAATATATCTGGCGCACCCTGATTCGGCATTGGAACAGCATCAGTTACAAGAATCCTCAGGCAAAATACAGGAACGAGCAACTGAATACAGACGCAAGTGCTAACATGCTTACCCATAACCGCTAAGCTTAGCAAACAAATGTTTCTGTTTTACGAGTTTTCCTGCTTCATTAAAAAAAAACACAATACAACAGAAAATTGGATATACAATATATGGCGACCAAATGTGACTGTATTTAAAGACGCTATACAGAAACAGATGTACAGCACTTTTCTGTAGTTCGTGACCATACTTCACCACATTCGTCAGTGCGGGCTGGCGAATGCGTAGAGCACAGACGTGGGGACATTGTCAAATTATTTTTCTGCATCGTCCTATGCTGCTAATAACATAGCCCAAGTGGCACTATATAAGCAGTTGACATTTATTTTAACACCAGCAGCAGCAGCAGCAGTCAGTCACAGGCAGAGGAAAGTAAAAATGGTAAACGTTCGGCTGTTGACTGTGTACCCAGTGGTTCAAGGAAGTGCGGCACCACTGCCCAGAGACCCCCATCATCCTGGTGGGTACCAAGCAGGACCAGCGTGAAGACAAGGACATTCTCAAGCACCTCGAGGAGAAAAGCATGCAGCCTGTGACCAATGCTCAGGGACTGAGTCTAGCCAAGGAGATAGGTGAGCAATGCGAAAGGATATCCGCACCCACTTCTTAACGTGGTCCAATCCAAAAAAATAATTGTGGATCACATGTATACTTTGTTACTATGAGCCATAGTACGTACAGTATTCCCTCATTATTGACGGGGGATACGTTCTAGAGATTCTCGTGAATAGCACATTTCGCGGGTAATGATTTCGCCTTCGAAAAACCTATCTTTTTAACGAATTACCATAAGTCAATACATAAATAAGCTATTAAATGCATACAAATTATCATAACACAGCACAATTCGTGGTAATATACATAAATGAAAAATAAATATAAAAAAAATTGTTTGCCTCCTATCTCCCCCACCATCCAGTTCCAATGTGTTTTTAAATAACTTGAGTTAGCTGCCACTTCACTTTGGCCAATAGCTAGATTTCTCCTGGAAAATGTTCTTCTTGAGTTGGCCAGAATTCCCCGTGTCAGAAGTTAGGCCAAGCAGAAATATAAAGACCTCTCCAGCTTTCGTGAATAACTCCCGAAATCATAGAAATGTAACTTTTTCATTAACTTGAGTTTATCATCAACTTGATATTTGGGAGAATTGAGGTCAACTCACATTCACACGAGTTGAGTTGAGTTGGCTGTTCATGGAAACAAGGTATTTCACACCTCCGATTGAATGGTTGGCTATGTACGGTGCGAAAGAACTTCAACATACATACATTACACTAACTACACCAGCCAAGTAATTATCCACCCCCTGAACAACCTGTACCTCATCATTGCCACAATTAATGAGCCATCGTTTTATTCAAGAATGGTTAATTTTTGTTTCATCTGTATAATTTCGTGTGTGCCCATTTTTTCTGTTCCATTTGCAAAAACTGGCCTTCCCATTCCATCGCCACCCTCCCGGTCCTGCAATCTCACGTGAACAGATCCTATCGTCCCATTGCCACGGTGGTCGCACCCTCTGATGTATTCTCTCCTTTGGCTGCCATTCTATCACTGTCCTCATCCATTGGCCATCAACCCTTTTCATCAAGCTGTGTCCTGCCCAAGCCCACTTTTTTAGCATTCGATTGGTCATCTCTATGTCTTATTCGTTTTTTATCATCCCCCTTTGATCTATGATATATATTTAGTGATTCACGGCATCTTGTTTACTTTTTTAAAAGGTGCTTTATAAATATAATTCATTATTATGAATCCATGTGTTCAAGTTCCTGTCACCCCGTGTAATTCCAAGCATGCACATCTGCACAATTCTCTGCACATGCTTCATTGATCGTTTTTTGCACTATACAGATCACATTTGTAAACCGCACTGCTTCACAGGCTTCTCGTGGTTGTCGGTACAGTGGAGGAATTCACTTGTTTGTTCATTCAGGTGCAATCAAGTACTTGGAGTGCTCAGCCCTGACGCAGCGTGGCCTCAAGAATGTGTTTGATGAAACAGTTCGGGCTGTCATCTCTCCAGAACCAAAGATAGAGAGGAAGAAAAAGAGTTGTGCTCTTTTATAACACCTAAGGCTTGCGTACGATGGACATCTCTTGCACTCTGCCAAGCAAGCCTCCACAACCAATGTGGGATCCAAACCCCGAAAATGCATTTTGTCAACAGTGTCAACAATGTATCATATTTAATTTCCTACAAAATAACAAGTTAAATGCAGTTGATGCTTGTAAAAATGCACACAGAGTACACGACAATAACTGTATATGTATAAGCCTCTGTCTTCATACTATTTTGGAAATGTGGGATTTTTAATCATTACTGTATAGCCATGTATTTACGAGCAGTCGTGCAAGTGACATGCTCATCCGCTTGCTGTTTACAGTTTCTGTCGCTTGGCCCATTCTGTCTAAGCTACTGCACTTGGGCAAACAAAATTGGGAACAATTCAGTATTCTCCACATTTATACAGCATTGTGCCCTTGTTGAATGTATTCTGCACTTGCATAAAATGTCTATTTTGTATTCAGATCTGTTTATTTTTTTATAATCCTTTGGTTAAAAATAGTGATGTGCTTATTTTGAACACTACAGGGATTACTCAAATACGTTACTTGCATTTATCTTAGAATGTTCCATCCTATTACTCTCACACTGTTGTCAATAGTTGAGCTTTTATTCTATTTTTTGTAATGCTTGCATGCGCCGTTTTTTATAAAATATAAAAAAATAACCTTGCAAATAAACTCAATGGGACGGACTGCATTCAGGGCTTTTGCCCGTGGTTGTGCCACGCATTAAAAATAGGGCACGAGGTGGCTGGATGGTTCAGGGAGCCCGTGTCATTGTACCGAGATTCCACGTGCGTTTCGTTTGATGGTTTAACAGAATGTCTCGATTTTATTTTCTTTCTCATTTACTGGATCCACATGGATCTATTGGAAAATATATAAATACTTCATGTATCAATGTTTATTTTGGTTGTGGTTTTTTAAGAGGACACTATTTTGCCCATCTGAACAATATTGCAAACTGTCTTACTGAATAGACAGCACATACAGTATTCAGACGAACCACAACATATACATGATTACGTGGCCACCTGTGCCGATAAGCAGTTGGTTACGTACGGAGCGAAAGAAGTTCAACATACATACGTCAAAATCGCAATTATTTTATTTTTGGCGACTCCGTCCCACCGCTCACATCGACCCACCTGGCGGGGATCATTCTGTTGTCACGTCATGTCTAAGCACAACAGCGAGGACGAATGCGCAGAAGAGCTGAACAAGCGAATGTACTCCATGCTCGGGTATGGGCAGGATCATAATACGTCTTATCCAAAGCTGCTAAAACTGCCTACACGACTTAAGTCCTTTATTTATCATAACGGTATGCATAATACAGTGAAACTGCTCTCTTCATTATTATTATTTGTGACCTACCAATGTCTGCAGCCAGGATCAATCGTTGACAATCCTATTACCTGCATATATTTAGCAGATGAGATGCGTTGAACCGTTAATTCCTCCTGTTTGATAATACTTCTCTTATCCGTATGCATCTGTGTAGATAGGTTTTTTACTGGTAGGAAACGTAGTGGACTGGAAGCCCAACCGGCATTCACAGGAGGCAGGGGATTAATTGTGGATGTCTGTGGATGTCTGTCCACGTGGGAGGGGTGGGGCTGGGTGGAGAGGGGAGGGTGGGGCTGGGTGGAGAGGGGAGGGTAGGGAGGGGCTGGGTGGGGTGGGGCGGGGTGGGGAGGGGCTGGTCACCCCGTGGTGCCCTTATATGGACTGGAAGCCCAACCGAGATTAATTCACAGGAGGCAGGGGATTAATTTATTGTGTATGTCTGTGGATGTCTGTCCACGTGTATCCGGACGCCCGGATATATAACAAATGCACTCCTAGTGGGCATTACTGGTAGGAAACGTAGTGGATTGGAAGCCCAGCCGGGATTAATTCTCGCAGCAGGCAGGGGATGAATTGTGGATGTCTGTGGATGTCTGTCCACGTGTATCCGGACATTCGGATATAAAAAATGGGAGGGGTGGGGCTGGGTGGAGAAGGGAGGGTAGGGAGGGGCTGGGTGGGGAGGGGCTGGGTGGGGAGGGGAGGGTGGGGAGGGGCTGGGTGGGGAGAGTGGGGCTGGGTGGGGGGTGGGAGGGGTGGGGCTGGGTGGGGTGGGGCTGGGTGGGTGGGGAGGGGCTGGTCACCCCGTGGTGCCCTTATAAAACTCAACGTTTAACCTACTCACGCCGGCTTGTGCCCGCCCTCATAGTCGGGCATATTTGCGGAATACACCACGTGGTGGTGCCGCCGTTGACCCTGGCCACTGACCGAGCAACCAACGTTCCTACCAGCTCCCTCCGCAGGAATGTGTAATGCAGTTAAGCCATAGTCCCCATATACCGCTCGTATCAATGCGGATAAGAGGAGCGGCGACCCACTACTCTGTAGAGTAACATTGGTATAAACGCTTGTTACAATATGAACAGCGCATTGAAAATGCGTACTATTTTATGTACTGTTTGCAAAGTGTGTTCACAAATCGACACTGAAAAACACGATGATTGACTGAGTGGTGTAAATTATTTTTTCGATAGTGTATTTAAAAAGAGGTACTGCAGGTAAATAGTTTTCAGTTTTAAAGGCGTAGTTTAACAAGACAACACTTGCCACCATCCTTCAAACCAATTGGTGAAAAAGAGCAAAGTTTCTGTTTACATTATAATATAATGCTTACATTATATATAATATATAATGTTTATGCTAGAGCCGGGGGCTTATGGGACCCCGGGGTCCCGCCATAAGGTTCATATATTGACCAGGCCAATAAAGCAGCGATGTAGGTGCTGTTGACATACAAAACAAAAAGCTATTGTAGTTGGAAACCCAGTTTGTCAAATTTGTGAAGAGAAAAAGCCATCAGAGCAGAATTGGTGGAGGCCTCCCAACAATGAGTTTCAAACAACGTGCGTTTTGCAAAAAAAAAACTATCAGCACTTCCAGAAGAACTACAGTGGTCCTCTCGTCTAAAACCACCACCGCAATGGGAAAATGTGGCCAGTTGACAGCAGCCAGTGATAGACACAATTGTGGACCGGTTTTGTCTTCATTTGAATACGCCAACACGGCAGTTCACCAACGCGCACTGCTCTTGACGACTCTTAATGACGTCAGAGACATTCCGCAGTTTGTGTGAAACCCACTCTTGTTACTTTGCACTCTGATCACGTTTTTGTACTGCTTGTTGTTGTAACATCCTGACTCGCCCCTACTGGACATCTGTGAAGAAAAAGAGCTTTGTAGCAGTCGAAATCAAGATTCGGATTCTGAAACCTCCCCCCAACCACACCCCCACGTGGGGCAACGAACCCCCGCCCCCTTGCCCGCAAGTCCAGCCCCCTTACCCGAAATCCCGCCCCTTACCCGTAAGTACCGCCCTCTTGTCCACAAGCCCCGCCTCTCCGTGGCGGAACCCACCCCCCGCGTTCCATTGGCCATAATGGCTGTGGACCCCGCCCCTTTGTCGGAGAGGTAACCCCCCCTCCCCATGACCGGCCCCAGTTGAATGCCCTCGAATCCGATTGGTGGCGCTTCGCGACTGCTGAACCAATGAGGGGCGACGACACGAGGCGGCTGCAATCAGCTGGGTCGGGTCAAGGGTCGCGACGGCCGCGCCACGTGTGGCGTGGGGGGGAGAGACGTAGCAGGGACGCATCCATACCCCACTACTCCACCCATAGCAAGCTCACCAATCCACACAGTCCACTCATAGCATGCTCACCACTACACAGAGTCCACTCAAAGCAAGCTCACCCCTTCGTGCATAGCATCAGCTCACCACTTCACACAGTCCACTCATAGCCTCAGCTCACCCCCTACACACAGTCACGCATAGCCTCAGCTCACCCCCTACACACAAGTCACGCATAGCCTCAGCTCACCACTGCTCGCGGCCGAGCACCACCCCAACTAGGCACACGCCACGCGCGCTATAAAACGCCACACGCTGCAAACTCTGTGGACGAGGCGAAGAGAGACGCTGCGCGCACCACAATCTCACCCGCGCTGCGTAGACCCCGCACGCCGACATCTGGAGAACGTGACGGCCGCTCTTGAGCTTCAAAACTGGAAAAGAAAAACGTAACAAAAAGTGACCCTACGGAAACTGAGAGGTGGGATTATGGTTATGCTCAATAAGAGTGCCACGTGAAATAGTTGGCTAAGGTTGGGGATACTGCAAGCGCCTGGTTCGCACAAGGTTCTGGATATGTGCGAGTATTAGTGTTTGGTAGGCTCGTCTGGGACCAGTACTAGTGGTGAGGTTGGATAGGGGTTAGATTTGGGTCCGTTCGGGCGGTGTTTGGTTGGTTGATCGGGGTCGGTGTGGGTGGACCAATATTCGTGGCTGGTTAGCAATGTAGTTATGGGTTTTGGTTAGTGGGATATATTACTCATGACCGATTAGCTAGTTGGTCAAGGATAGGATTTAGGTGATCGATCGTACAAGTTGCCGTTTGCATAGTTGGTTCGTGTCAGGTCGAGAGTTTCTAGTGCGTGTGTGTGTCCAGTGCGCTCCGCTATAAAACTGCTCGCGTGTGCCTGCCATATTCACTGCAACCACGTGCGGCCTATTTCATTGTTCGTCCGCGCTTCTCGTTACGTCGGCGGTCACAGGCTGTAAACATCGCAAAGCGGCAAAAACTTAAAACGCTCATTCATCGGGTGGGGGAGGAGGAGGAGAGGGTGGTGGGCAAACCCGTGTTTAGGACGGATCGCGGCTTGGCCAACCAATCTCTGGCCCTCGAACGAGCCAACCAGCCAGCGGCAACCAACCCCCCCCCCACCACACACATATACAGCGCTTCAACCCACAGAGACCATCAATCATCCGTTGTGTTCGCGTTTCACTTGTGGTGGCCATAACGCTACGGCGACTACGTTTCCAGTTCGCTGCCTCCCGAGCCGGGAAGCCTGCCGCCGGCTTCATCTCGCGAGGCCACCATGGTCGGGCTGACGGACGCCGCGGCTTTTGGCCACTTCTACTCGTTCTTCTCGAAGAACATGACGCGCTCGCTGCTGCTGCTCTTCGACCTGGCGTGGAAGTTCCGCCACAGGTTCCCCTACATGTACTTCGTGGCGTCCATGGTGATGAACGTGCGGCTGCAGGTGCGCTGATACAAAAAAAAACATCCTTCCCAGCCTTGTCGTCACCAACCACCCAACACCATTTGCCAGGCCCGCGGTGGCTTTGTTAGGTAAATGCCGCGTGTGTGTGTTGTGTGTTTTTGTGTGTGTGTGTGCTGACATGCCAGTCAAGTGTTACTTGTGTGTGCGCACTTTTGTAATGGTGATGGTCTTGCGTTGATAGTTGCGAGTGTGGTGGTGCTTATGATCGCAGTGGTATTCATGATCGTGGTGGTATTCATGATGGTGGATGTTATGCTATTTGTTGCGGATGTGGTAATGTGATGATGTGGTGGTTTGGTGGTACAGTACTGTAAGATGTATCGGACTCGACAACGATGGTGAGGTTGGCTGTGATGACCTCGTGGTGAGGTTATTTTAGCCAGGCCCACATTGCGGTGATGTGTTTAAATCGCGTTGTACACGGCGCGACAAAGCCGCCGTTGCCTGGCGAATCGAGTGATCTGTTATTACGATGAGCTTTTAGATATTTTAGTAATCCGGCAATTTCAGATCGACACTCTTGGAGAGATTTGCATTGGATGAATTAAATGGCTTTAGACAAATCAGTTCAGTCTGATTTTAGATTAATCTGTTTAGTCAAATCTGTTGGACTTAACCAGGCATTTTTTTCTACCTGTAAAAATGACTAATAAAATTACCTACTCGTCACATCTTGACAAGTGTAAAAATGTGTTTCATTTTTGGCAGCTCCGTCACCAGCAATGGCGATGATCGCCAAGGCAGTACGTTTCAAAATCTAAATATGGCTCAAATCGCTCTAACGTGGCATTTACAATCACCACATCTGGAGGCTTAAATGTCGCTCGTAATGGCGACTTTTAATCCCACGCATGTAAGAGGTGAAGTGCTGACTGACAAACTCTTTATGGCATAGGTGCTGCAGTACTCTAGATTTCCCCTTGTTGACAAAACAGACTGGAGTTTAAATAATGTCTATTATAAGTACCACAAGGTCATCATAGTTGTGCTGTATATTGCTGATTGGCCGTGTCGGGTGGTGGAGGGTTACGACACATTTATAAATAAACGCGATCTAACCCAAAAACCTTTATTATGAAGGTCATCATGTTAGGCTGTATGCAACCTTTCAGGGTTTCGGTGAACCCACAGAGGATAGGTCGAAACCAGCTGTTAGGGAGGTGCAGCCATATTGACAGGCACGTACATTTTTCAAATGTTATTCATTACACATACGTCCAAGTATGCCATTCGCTAGATTGTGTGGGTAGGCAAGGAAAAGGTTTAAACGTTGCGCACTGCACTGATACCATTTGAAAGAAGAGCTGTACATCGTGTGCCAGAGTTCATCTTTCATTTCACATTGCTGCCCCACATCGCCGTCATTTGTCCCAAAATAAATTAAGGGCCTCTTTGTTTTTCCATGTTTTGTAGTTGCTGTATTAAAACCTAATTCATCCACGTTTTGCTCAGCTATTTATCCGTAAAAGAAAAGCAGGCCTTCTCTTTATATATGCCTCTGTTGCCCTTAATATCATCACCACTTCTTCTCTGCATTACTGTACATTGACTCGTGACTTAGGCGTTTTAGAATTACAAATACCCATAATGTGCTTTTAACCAAAGCTTAGCAGCACAGCTAAGTACGCCATAATATTGCACTTTAAATAATAATTTAGCTTCTATACGTGTTCATGATTGTCTAGCTTCCAATTAAATTTTAATTGTCATACATCAGAGCTCTTTTGCCAACACTTTGCCATTGCACCCTGCAGGTACAATTAGTGTAATGTTAAGCAAATATATTAAGTTGAAATGGACAACTGAGGTTATTGCATTATTGGTGTCTGGAAGAAGTATATTGTGTCTAAACTAATAAACAATGGGTCTATGCTGCTAGAATAATTCATTATTGATTTTCTTGTGCCACAGTAACTCATGCCATATGGTTACTTACACTTGGCCTCCCATGGTACCTGGTATGGGACGGATACTGAATATATTACAGCAATATATACAAACAGTGCTATAAAGACTGCGTCGCCCGGGTAAATCTCTGCAACGGTCAGTAGAATGGATAACGGAGACCAGTCACAAATGTCTAGAGCTCGCAAATCTTAATTATTTAAGTAATTGAGAGTATTAAACCAAATATCGGTTTGATTAATCGGCGAATCTGATGCAATTAAAGTAGTTGCGAAAAAAAGTATCCTCTATTCCCACGTGTGCCTGTGGATGGGAGGTGATGAGCAGGATTTGGTGACATTGGTATCTTCAACGTGTCACGCTGGGTGTTGCTTGTTGGGGGTTTCCTTCAGTAGACGCGATGTAGAGGCCACCACCGTTTTGAAAGTGGCCGAGTAATCATATGCAAAATAAGTAACCAATTAAATGTTTTTGATTCATCTACTTAATAGAGCCGTAATTTTAAATAAGTCATCCTTCGATGAATTTGGGACATAGTGTCGTTTGACCTTGAAAATAAATACGTTTTTCTAATGTAAACTACAGCATGTATTGGTATGGCTAAAGTCCATAACCCAATTGTTGTAACTATATGCTGACATTTGAATGGTAAATAATCAAGGGTTCAGTAATAATTCAAATATATTATGGCCGAGTGGTTATAACCATTTTAATACGTTTTAGTTTGTGATTTATTTGTACCTTTGTCAATCCACTGCTGAACAAAGGCTTCCCCATAGATGGTGTAGAGGTGGAACAAGACTGGTAAGTTTGTGATTAGAATAAATAAAGTGTCTACATTTCACTTTTGTGCATTGTTTTTGCTTTTATAATGCCTTGTAAATGAACCTAAAATGTTTGTTCTTGTGGGGTTTTACATTTTGTATGACAGTTTAACAATGTTGTGTGGTTCTGTCATTGTGAATTATGTTGTATTTTCTCTGCTTGCAGGTACACATTGAAATCAACCCACATTAAAGAAAACCTTGGAGTTGAAGATGTTTTATGTAAACTAGACAAAAACACTCGTCATAAGATGCTCCGTTTTGGATTTAGTTCAGGACCTTCATAGGCAAGACGTTTGATATAAGAAGAATTACCTACTACAGTGCAATCTGTTCTGCAAACAATGCAATTGCAAAACACAGTCATATTTAGAACAATTATTGTACCAAACCAACTGTTATAAGCTATGACTGGTTTGATTTTTGCATATCAAATATAAATAAACTGTTTACACTCAAAACAGCAGGGCAGTTATTATTATTTGGAGGCTTGTATTGCTCACAAAATGCATTTGTGCCCAAATTGGTATGCGAAGGAGTTTTTTTGGCACGCAATCTTTCGTGATTTTTTTAAACTTAAGACACTGCTGTTGCTGTCATCAGAACCTGCCTCATCTTAGTATATTGAGAAATTATTGGATTTCTCGGTAAAGAAATTGGTAACATGTTACACTGTTTACGTTTCACACCAGTAAAACATTGAGGTATGTGGTCTTCTCTGTAAGTTGACCCATTCAGGGTAGCATATTTTATGTGTAGGATAAGTTAAGTTGTGTAATGTCTGTGTAAAGTGAATGCACTTGTACAAAAGGACATTTTATGGAATAGAATGATGGTGCTACTGCATTGTTGCATTTATTGCTAAAGGTGTTATAGAGATGCTAAATAATGGTTAATAATGGTTATTTATAGGAATATAAATAACCATTATTTAGCATCTCTCTTGTCCATTGTGTCCTTCAACATTTGGATTATAATCAACATTACATTGCCTGACATACACACTTAAAATGTTTTGTTCAGCATTTCGCAAAACACCTGTTTTAAATTCTGGGAAAGCAAGCCTTATTTTGACTTGTACTTAGAAAATTTCGAAACGTCTGTCAGAGTTTAGATTTTTCATGTGCTACAGCACGCCCCTTGTGCATTAAAAATGAGGAATGTCTTTTTTCAAAAATGTTTTATTGGTATTGAATAACCACCTTACTGTGGTTTATATAAAAAAACGCATTTCAATTGGTGGTTGAAGTTCAAAGTGGACTGTGGCCCTCAAAGGAATAGCGCCACCCCCGTGATCACCCCCATGATATGTGGATCAAAGAAACTACTCTCGACGCTGGTATGGCAGCAAGAAAAGTTTATGCGAATGCTGTGTGCAAGAGGTCACACATTTGGCCCAACGGTCTTGCGCTGATGATGCATGATGAATGAACGTGATTTATAAAAGTAAAAAACATTGCATTGTTTTGAAACGTGTTGATATGAGTCGCGTGATAAACACAATTTTGTAAGATAAAATGTAATGTCTGCAGTGTTTACGGCCTTTAAATGAATTACCTGTGTTATAGACTATGTACGGTGTAACAAAATCTAGAATGTATAATGCATATTTATGACTTAAAGCTCAAAGTAGCTTTGGCTTAGACCAACAGTGTAAGTAATGATTAATTATAGCTGCTGTGATTTGGAAGGTACTGGAAAATTATATTGGGGATGTTTGTGACGTCTCAGAAATATTAAGTCGGCCAGTGTTATATTGTCATCATTCTCTTTGGTTCTTTCGCTTAAGTCGCATAGATAGAAAATTAATAGATCACGACGTTTCGATCGCAACACAAGCAATCGTCATCAGGTGAGGCAGTTATGCTGTTTGGAAAGCTTCATATCAAGATTGTCATTATTGCATGCGAAATGGTCTTCCCATGCCATCTCATTTTCTTGTACATAAGGAACATAAAAATGTGCATATGTACGTGAACATTTAAAAAGTCCGACTGCTTGCACTCTTGTTTTCTGTTATATTTTTTGTACACATTTCCAGTCGCTTTATTTTGCAGTATTGTGATTCATGCTATTTTTGGCTACTTGTAACAACTCGGCCAAGTTGTTCTATGACTTGTTAATTGAATACAATTACAAACATTAGATATAATTAATTTATAATTAATTGCAATGCTTTGTCAAGCCACTGCTGGACGATGGGCTCTCCATCTCGTGTCGGTTGTTTTGGTCATACTTCACAGGTCGGTCCAGGTTGGTGACATGGTAGCTGTGGCTGAGAAGTTAAATCCAGTTGCTGGGTCAGTTGTGGAATGTGCTGACCACAGTGCCATGATTACTCTCAACAATAATGCACTGATGCATTTGGTAACTGCTTTGGTCCAGGAATAGATTTGGGCCACTTTTATTCCCATAGAGCACGGTCATCTTTTAGCACAGTAGGTGATATCAAGACATGTATTTTAAACCAATGTAAGCCAACTCATTTGTACAACAGCACAAGTTATACATGACACGAACTTTTTTTAAATGTCTGCCTTAATATTAACTTGTGTACATTTAATTTCACAAATGTACACATCCCTGGTCTCCATCTCGATACGATTGTGTTGAGCTGATGTATTCAATGGCTATCAACTTGGCAGATTGATACTGCACCTCAACTGAACTTTTTTTTACAACTGAAGGGCATTTGGTGGAGTTGATCCTTCATGAGCTATGATAATCAGCTTGAGCGTTAAGCTCCGTAGCAAAGTAGATACATGTGTCTCTTTGATATTGTAGGAGTGGATAAAACGTAAGCTTTTTTTGGAGGTGGTTCCACCTCAAATATTTATCCGCAAAATATAGTCTGCGTTTGTATTTTGTTTGTAATTGTCCATTATTAAAATATTCGTCTGCATAATCCATAAAGATGGAACATTTCATTTGTAAGCATGTCAAGTGATGACTGCTTGCATGAATATTGAGATTTTGATGTATATGGATTTAGTAGCAAATACAAATCATGGGAATGTTAAAGAAAACCAATTTATGCACGTGTTATCTTGAAATGTTTGCTTTTTCAGAGTTATTTTACAGAGCTCTGAACTTGACTGGATTATAAACGTGTGTTTTACGTAAGAACCTATGTGGTGGTACGGTACTAAGGGATATTCATGGAGATGAATGGTCCATCTGGTTTCCCAACAGCTTGCTGCTCCTGGTTGGTTAATTCTGCTAAACCTAAAGTGATGAAGTGTGTTGGTGTATATATGTTTCCCTCACGATACATTGGGCGACTAGCACTTGTTTGACTTAAATGAAAAGTAAACTAATTACATTGCAGGGGAAAACATTTGGAATGGCTTTTTGTTTTGTAAGCTATATATATGATATGTTTGGTTTAGTGTTTTGTACGATAGTATTACTGTGTTTGAAAACAAGTTAGAGCTTCTTAAAATTGAGCTAGCTCATGTTGTATAAGACTTCTGATCATCTGCTCTCCATGGTTAAATTGTATTGCGTGCTGAGAAAATAAAACTTCTAACTTCACTGTATCAAAAGTAGTGGCATAAAGGATAATGTATTTCGTTTATACTTGTCAATTTCAGCTACGTACTAGTAATATCTGTACCTCGTGAGCTCTGTACTGTTAACCATGAATGTAGAGGGTTTTTTTAAGTCTTGCCTTACTGGCTGCAACATGCAGTGACTGCAAATGTCATGTTTGTCATCGTGGCATTGAATTGTCAATAAAGCCTCCAATAAGCCCCATGAAGTTTTCGTAAATGTAGACTTACATCTTCTAATGCATTACATAATGAGCATCTGTTATGTTAAATTACTAGGAATCTTTATTAATTAATCATTAGACTCGAGCATATGGACATATATTGTCCGATTGCAGATAATTCTAGAGCCAGTTAAATATCAAGGTTTAATAATGACTTGTCAACTTATTAAATTATTTTTGGGATATGAGTAGATTATTATTTAAATACCAAATTTCTGTGTAAAAAAATAATCGCACTATAAACTTAAGAAAGCCAATTGGGACAAGTTAGATTGGAAAAGCAAGCTGTGTCGATTGCCAGTGTTGTGGCAATGCCTGTTTTATCTATGCATGACAGTCAAATGGTTTAGATCAGGGGTCGGGAACCTTTTTGACTAAGAGAGCCATGAAAGCAAAAAATTTGGAAATTTATTTCAGTGAGAGCCATATAATATATTTTAAAAGTGAATTCAACTAAATGTCAGTATAATAAGCCTCTGAATTTATTATTTTAAATAATGTTGTTATAACACTCACCATTAATGCGACTTCTGGTGCTGCATGGATTTGCTGATGTCTTTGTAGTCGGGTTGGTACTTGGTGAGGTTAAGCTTCATGCAAGCGTTGAGGCTTTCATCCGTTAAACGTGATCGTAGGTTGGACTTGATGTTTTTAAGATGTGAGAATGACTGCTCACATGCATACGTAGATCCAAACATGGTCAATACAGCAATACTCACACGCTGCAGTGTGTGGTATGTGACAGGAAGCGCGTTCCAAGTTTTGAGAATCAGCTGGTCTTCGGGTTGGAGTTTTTTCATTTCTGTCCACATGTGCTTGCTCGCCAACTCCGCTTTCTGTCGTGTGATTCTTTCCAAATCTTCATTCAGTGACTTGAACTTATTCACCCACATGTCTGAGGCCTTCAGGTCAGCCACTTCTGCTTCAAAATCTCTGACGGAGACACCAGGGATGTAATTCAGGTCGGCTGTGTTCAGTGAACACTCGTTTGGATGGGTGATGAACTTAAAAAGACGAGTGTGCTCACGAAATTCTCCAAAGCGTGCTTTGAAGGACTGTAGGAGACTGGATGTGCAGCCAGCTAGCTGGTGGAGATCAAGGTTTTGAATGGGCTCACTTGCTGTGCATGCATCTTTAAATTGGCTCAGTTTTTCAAAATGTAGTAAACGACCTGTTTCAAGATCCGTGATGAAAAGCTCCAGCTTGTTTTCAAAAGCAAATACAGCTTGTTGAAGGGATAACACTGTATTTCCAATGCCTTGCATTTTCACGTTGAGCTGGTTCAGATGTTCAGTCAGATCTACGAGATAGTAAAACTTGAGGAGCCACTCGGTGTCGGCTAGCTCAGGATGCCCGACGCCTTTCATTTCAAGGAAAGTCCGGATTTCGTTCAGGCAAGCCGCAAAACGGCTAAGCACCTTCCCTCTTGACAACCAACGCACATTGCTGTGCAAAAGCAGACCAGGATAGTTATTTACAACTTCATCCAGCAGTGTTTTAAACTGGCGAACATTTAAGGCTCGGGCAACAATAAAGTTGATCACACGAATGACCAGCGACATCACTTCGCCAAACTGCCTGTCACACATCTGAGCACAAAGTGCCTCCTGGTGTATAATGCAATGGAAACTTAGGATGGGTCTATTTTCATGTTCACGGAGAAGCGCCACAAATCCTTTGTTTTTCCCCACCATACACGGAGCACCATCAGTACACACTGAGAGAAGTTTATCCATAGGTAGACTTTTTTCTTGAGCAAACTCCATGAAAGACTTGAATAAATCCTCACCTCTTGTGGACCCTTTTAATGGCAGAACAGCAAGACTTTCTTCGCGCAGTGTGTCACCAACAGCATATCTTGCAATCACGCTGAACTGCGACAAATGGCTCACGTCTGTTGACTCATCCAAAGCCAGAGAAAAGAACGGCGCTGCATTTATGTCCTTCACTTGCGTTTCCTCCACTTTGTTTGCCATCACGATGGTACGATCATGAACAGTTCTTGCCGACAGAGGCATGTCTTGTATCCGTTTGATTATCTTGTCTTTGTTCGGAAGATCATCAAAAAGTTCATTGGCTACATCCAGCATGAACGTTTTAGCATACTCGCCATCTGTGAATGGTTTTCCGTTCCTCACTATTGCTAAAGAACCAGCAAAGCTAGCCGAATTATAGTCACCTTGCCGGGTCCATACGCGGAGTTGCTGCTGGCTAGCTTGCACCCTGCTCAGAAGCTCTTGGCACGCTTTCTTTCTGCTGTCTCCCGCAGGGTATTTTGATGCAAAGGTAGCGTGGCGCGTGTCGAAGTGCCGCTTTACATTCGACCGTTTCAACGATGTAATTTTGTCATTGCAAATTAGACACACCGCAGAACCCGCTCTCTCCACAAAGGCGAATTCTTCGGTCCATTCGTCCTGAAATGTACGATACTCGTCGTATTTTTTTCTTTTCGTCATCTTCTTCGTCGAAGGGTTAGCTTTGAGCTAATGACCGAGCAGATGCAGTCTCAGACTGATTCAAAAGGGGGCGTTTACCTGTTTTACCCAGCAACGGCAAACGTAGGCCAGTATCATCCAATTAAAATAATGGACAATTGCTCCTGCAGCCCTGAACAGGACATGCGCAGTGAAAAATCGATGGATGGATTAAAACAAGTGAGAATATTTTGTTTTATCTGCGAGCCATATGCAATCATCAAAAGAGCCACATCTGGCTCGCGAGCCATAGGTTCCCGACCCCTGGTTTAGATTATTCAGTGGAAACCGCCACAGTGGCGTTCCCAGCAAGAGCGTTGGCCTGCAATTGCTCCAGAAAGCCCTGTGTCCTCAGTTGCCCCCTGGTGGAGGTTCTATGTCAAAAGTACATGGTGTGGACAATCCCATTACATTTTCCCCATCATTCGAAAGAAGTGTGGAAGTGTTCACATAAATGGTTTTCAGAGGCAGACTTTGAAGCAATGAGCATTGGTGACTGCTGTGCCGATGGGTCTTCATGATGAAATCGGTCCACAGTTGTCGATCACTGCTTCACCGCTGCTGTTGTCAGTCGGTCACATTTGTTCAAATGTACTCTGATGGTGACTTTAGTGGACACGAAGATGCAGTCCTTCAGATACTGCTGATGGTTTTTCCAAAAACGCACAGAGGCTGAACTCTTATTCCGTTATGGGATTTTATCGTAAATTACAGATTAATTCGGTCAATAGGGTCGCCGCTATAATTTTTTTTGGCGATAGGATAGAAAATATCACGATATGGCGATTATCGCGAAATTATTTCCCCGTTACGTATTTCACATTATCGACTTGCTTTTTGGTGGTTCACTCAAAAAGCCTTGCCACAAGTCTTCTCATCGCTAATGAATGATTGTTTACTCAGGAAAGCCTCACTCGTTATCATCACTCTTTCAGGAAGGCCCTGCCAAGTTTTCACAGAAGTGGGCGGTGATTGCTCTGTGTACATGTACAGCATTCCAATGAATACATTTGCGGGTAATGAATGGGCAATGGTTCTCTTTCTTGTACTATTAGAATCAAAGTCTTTATTTATCCTGAAGGAATTTGACAAGCACACATGTCCAGTCGGGGTGGGTCATCGAGTTACAGCAACAAACAATACAAAATAACTATAGAAGTGCTATATAGATAAAATATAAGCAAGTCACTAAAATTAATTGAATAAAAACCAAGAAGGTATACAATTACTAATTGTATAATCAACGATATCCATATGAATAGTTTTTTTAATGTATGTTGTAATGGAGTGGTGTCCTAAATGGCGTTTTCTGACATGCAGAGAGGCATGTCTACGATTAATATTTAAGCTTCGGGTAACAGGTGCAGGCTTTATGACATTAACAATATCATGTAACTATATAATATTGCAGACAGGAAGAAGTGAAATTGTTTTAAAAAGTATAGGAGTGTGTTGTGTGTGTGTAATGGATGATGTGACTGAGTTTCATGGTTTGAGTGAGAATGGGGTAAAACACAGACCAGAATTACTGTTATGAGAGTGCTGTATTGTGACTTCATATTTTGTCAGGAAAACAAATTGTATATGCCAAAAACATGAAACGAGCTGCGATAATCACGATATTCGCAAAAAGGACGAAACGATGATCGTATCGTACGATATATCACAGTGTTTCCTATGTACAAAAACAATTATGACTTTCCACAAAGTACTGTAACACAAACGATAGGAGTGCAAAATAGAGAAAAGATAAGCAAGTCACTAAACGTAAATGAATAAAAACAAATAAGGTATATAAGTACACATTGTATAATGGGACCAGGATTGGTTTCAACACCCGTCCGAGATGTTAACTCCCTCGCCAGTAATGAAGGAGGTTGTGGGTTCGATCCCGACCCTGACGCCTGCTGTATATTTGGGAGTTTGTGGTGTCTCTCCCCGTGGTCGCGTGGATTTTTCTGCGGGTCCTCTGGCTTTTCCCCTACACTTTTAGAATCAACACCACTCGTTTCCAGTCTTCCTTGAGAACGTCATCCGCGACGCCGTCACCTGCACGGAGCACGCCAAGCGCAAGACCGTCATCGCCATCGACGTGGTCTACGGCTTCGGAGGCTGGGTGCCCATCTCTCGCGCAAACTAAACCAACCCAAAGGCTCTTCTTTAGAGCCACCCACCTCTTCTAAACTGCTTGCGCGCCAGTGTTACCAAACCGTTCACGAAAGAAACACTTTCTAAATGGAGCACGTGTCCTGGTTTGTTGCGCGTCAATTCCTCGTGAGCGTGGACCGTGGCTCTTCTCGTGGACGCGCGGTGGTGGCGCGAGGTGCCGTCTGCTGCTGTCGCTCTGCGCTAGGTTAAGATGTTTTTCTTTTCGATTTAAAGCTTTCGTGACTGCAAGGATTCATCTTCTTTGGTTCTTTCCGTAAAGTCACGTAGAATGAGAATAAAATAATAAATTGATAAAATAAAACAACACAATAATATTCTCACGACGTTTCGGCCACAACACAAGCGGCCTTCATCAGGTGAAGGGACGAGACTGTCTGGCGCTGTCCTCCAGACAGTCTCGTCTGGCGCTGTCCTCCAGACAGTCTCGTCCCTTCACCTGATGAAGGCCGCTTGTGTTGTGGCCGAAACGTTGTGAGAATATTATTGTGTTATTTTATTTTATCAATTTATTATTTTATTCTCATTCTACGTGACTACCGAAAGAACCAAAGAAGATGTTTTTCTTGTTCATGTTTTTTTTTGTTTGTTGCGGTTGCACCCGATTTAAGAGGCGAATGGCTCACAGGGCTATACCAAATAAATGAAACTGAAACAGTGTTTTTGCTACTGATATAAATGTCCACATGACGGTAAGCCACTTTGTTGAACTATCCTTTCTGGTCAGGTCGCTTCTGAGAAAGAGTCACATCGCTAGCTCAGTTGGCCTTACCTGGTAAAATAACAAAAATATGAAAAATAAGAATAGGTTTGAACCTTTTCAGGCAATAGAACAGCTGTTCAGATGTTAAACACCAAATACTGTAGATACCTTTTGTAAGGAATCATGTCTGCATTAACCACACGTACTGGTGAACATGCAAACAAACATGCTCTGATAGAATATGCATTGTCTTTGAAACTGGCCTACACCAATACATACCTGTCAACCCCTTATCAGTGCCGACCTTATCACAGACATTTAGACCTTATTGGTCATCACGTGCCCTTATAAATTTCAACGTTCATCCTACAAAGTCCCATCACAAAGGAGAAACAAATAAATACCGAAACATTTTTTTTGCCCGTATTGAAACGGCTGTACGCCGTATGGAGCTAACAACTAAATTTCCCAGTACATGATGGATACGGGTAAACCGTATGGGTTGACAGATATTCCAATGCATTGTCCTTGAGTTTCAAAGACAATGCCATAAAGAGCATGTTTGTTTGCATGTTCACCACAAGTACCGCATGTGGTTAATACAGTATTTGATGCCTTGCAAAAGAGGATCTATTTGGTGTTTGAACATCTTAACGCCTGTTTTATTGCCCTGAAATTATAAAAAAAAACTACTCTTATTTTTCATACTTTGAAACTGGCAAAAAGGTACCGCGATCAAGTAAATAAATAGTTTATAGACTCGTAAGGCGACAATATGTTCTGTTTAACACGTAGGCTTTCGCGACCAATATCATCCATAATACAGGTTTTTTGGGGTGGTTAGATCGCGTTAATATATCAATGTGTCGTTAAACCTACCACCACCCGACACAGCCAATTAGCAAGGTTTTGTCACGTTAACAAGACATGCAATTTCAATTCTAGATTTGAAGCTTTCGTGACTGCAAGGATCTATACTCTTTGGTTCTATTCGGTAAAGTCACGTAGAACGCGACCTGGGCTTGGCTGTTTTCACTCCAACGCTGTCCTCATGATAGCACGGTCCCTTCACCTGATGAAGGCCACTTGTGTTGTGGCCGAAACGTCGTGATTTTTGTTATTTGATTTTTTACCTACGTGACTACCGAATAGAACATGAAATTTCGTTACTAGTGCAGCACACAGGTGCGTTGGAGAGTAAATCCACAACATTTACAACGTATCGCGGATAACATTGGTCGCGAAAGCCGACGTGTTTAACGGAGCTGATCGTTTAAAGTTCGACCGTCATAATGAGGCGGTCGAGCTGTGACGTCAGGGGGAGGGGAGGGGGCTAGCGGGCACGTGACTTCGCTGAGGGGCGGGGGCTGGCGGCCGTCACGTCCCCCCCCGCTACCACCCACCCTCCCTCCCACTCTCGCGCTGCACGCCGGGAGTTGTCGCTGTGAGGGGGCCGCGCGTCTCGCTCCTGCGGCGGCGGCTGAATCCGAGCGTTCGTGGTGGTTGGGGGTGTCGGAGGGGGGGGGAGAGCTCCGCCGCAGCCGTTTCTCGTCGGGCGAACCAACGCGAAGCCAAGATGGGGCGGCGCTCGACGAGCTCCACGAAGAGCGGGAAATTCATGAACCCCACGGACCAAGCGCGTGAGTCCCGCCGAGCGCCGCCGCCGCCTCCCGCCAGGCCTCAATTTCCCCCGAGCTCGCTTCGGCCGCAACGAGCCGCGAGGGCTGCCACCCTCAGCCTTTGATTGGTCCGCGCTCGCGTCACGTGACGCGCGGGCACCAATGGCGCGCTGCGAAAAAATGTTTTTGCAAGCGCGCGCGCTGGAGAGAGGGGGGGTGGGGGGCCCGTCAGTTGCACGTGGAAATTTTGGCGTGGATTTGTTTTCGATTTGTGGGCGTCCTCGGTTGTTGTTGTTGTGTGGTTGTTTGACACGAGTACCCGGTGCGCTGTGTAGTAAAACATCGCCAGGAGGGAGACAAAGGCGGCCGGACGTGGTTGTCCGCCTCCCCACCGCCTCGTGTGCTGTGCCGGTCTTAATAGGTGCTCGCTAACAGCGCTTGTCCGAACAGTCTGTTTACAATACGGGGGAGGATCTTTGTCGTTGTGTGTGAGAACCTCTTGCGCGCCGTACCGTAGCCAACCGTGCTCATCGGAGGTGCCGGGGGAAGCACAACAAACTAAACGCAAAAATAAGTTGTAAAGAAATGAGTTTGTCGGATCTAGATTTAAAAAGTGCGTATAGCTCCCAGTGGCTTCCTGATATCGGAAGGAAGAGCGTTCCAGACGGCCGCAGAAGCGCATCTGAAAGCGGGCGATGCAGTGGCCGTCTGTTTTTCGATGACCAGCTAAAAGCCGCTGCGAGGATGACCGGAGTTTGCGTGATGTTTGATGCTCCTTGAGTTTTGTACAACAGTTTTTTTGTTTTGTACAACATAGTAATTAATGTGATGCCTTCATGATCAACAATGATACGCAAATCAATGACTGAATTAATAACTTTACTGGCATTGCACTTAAAGTAATACCATTTCGCGGACACACCTTGATTACTGATAAGTAAAGGTTATTAAAACACTAATTAAACCGATGTGAATACATTTTCACCGATTTTAGTAACACTTGGAAATTGCTTTATTAGCACTAACACGATACTAACATTCACAGCAGTGAGATCAATCTGCTAATAACGTTATTGTCGCATTGATAAATATCGGCGTGAATGGGCTGAGCTAAGCTTGACTCGGACTTAAGCTTGTCATTTCAAAACTGAGAGCCTTGATGCTATTTAAGGTCAATATATCCCAATTGTATACTGTGAATATTTAAAAATGTTGTACAAATGTGGAATTTCTGTGTTTGATATTGCCGTTCTATACCATTCTCCTAAAAATATTTTTTCTATTCAGGCAAGGAAGCAAGGAAGAGAGAACTTAAAAAGGTATTGAACAATTGCACGACTTTTGCCTTGTAATTGCTTCATTTGTATCGACACTTGGGACGTTGGAAATTGGCAGGACAACACATATATAACTGGCATTTTGAAATTTGAGAAAAACATATTTTCGGGCTTGTTTTAGATCAGGTCTGTTCGATGCAAGTTTATATTGTTAGCAGTTTTATAGTTGGATGTTTCTGAATGGCTTTAGAAAAGTGATCTTTTAAAATTATTCACGTTAAAAGTGCGTTGCGTGAATGTGTTAGTATGGCTGCTTATATTTAAATATTTGTAAATGCTTCATCGCAAATTACCTTATTGTGAAATTCTTGTTTACAGAACAAAAAGCAGCGCATGATGGTGCGGACAGCAGTGCTGAAGATGAAAGATCCCAAACAGATATTGAGGGACATGGAGAAACTTGATGAACTTGGTAACAAACTTTTAAATGTAGCTCTTATTTGCTGTTTTTAGAAATCGGACATTTCGTTTTTGTGATCCACCACCAGTATCACATTTCATGTTCAAGATTTCTTTATACCTGTTTAAGATTGCTTTACACCTTTACACCTGTAAAGCAATCTTGAACATGTGGTAATTTCTGTTGATTTAAACATTCAAAATACAAAGTCACTTGATCAGTCTTGAGTACAGCATGTGCATCTTGACTATACTATTTGTGATAAGTCATGTCATTTATGCAGTTTTATAATTTATTGTATACAGTTGCAATTTGAATATGTATAGCATCTAAATGTAGCTTTATAACAAGACACTACAAAAAAGCGAGACGGGCATCATAAAAAAACTTGACGTTTGTATTGAAGATGTATCTAGGAAAACAGTCACAGGCAGTGGTTGCCATGTGTTACAAATTGGCATCGAAACATGCAAGATATCAAACATGATCACGTATTCATGCATTTGAGGCCATTATGATATAATATTATTTTAATGTACATTATAAGATGCGAACACATTGTGTGAATAGGAGTAGTGGATGTGCTTGCTTCAAAGCTTAAAATGCGAATTGGAATTGTTTTCTTAGGAGTGTATGTTTAAGTGAAGTTTTTTTTTTACATGGGAGTATATTTTTTGAGTAAAAATGTGGAATGTTTGTTGCAGAATTTAGTGCCATACAGACACCCATCTTGAATGAAAAGGTTTTGAGAGACAAGCGTAAGAAACTTCAGGAGACGCTGGACCGAATCCTTCACCTGTATGAGAAAGACAACCCCGAGCAGTACAAGGACCTACGCTCCGCTGAGATTGAGTACAATCAGAAGCGCCTGCAGATGTGCAATTACTACGAAGCTGTCAAGGTGGGCTCCAGTAAAGCCACTCGGTTTATACTCATAAATTTAATACTTCCGAGTTTACACACGTTGAAAAATAGCTTAAAATCTATGCTTGAGTTTATTGTTTATGATTGCTGGGTAAATGCAAGTGTGGTTAATAGTGAGTAGTCTAGATTTTATTGGAAGTTGCAATATTTTATTTAAATATATGGGTTTTCAGTCCTGTTAAAATATACGTTTTTCTAAACTGATTAGTACCATATTGCTGCTGTCTGGTTACATAATTGCATGATTGCATGTAACTTGCAAAGTACACGGTAAAAAAATGTTCGATTGAATCTGTTACTCCTCAATCACCGATTACATGCTCCACATGCCACTTGTGCAGATAAATAACAGATACATATTTTTATATAAAATTATAATTGTAGTTAATCAATATCGTTAATTACCTAATCTTGGAATTAATTATCAACTTCTGATAAAAAAATATAAAAAAGTATTTGCACTACCTTCAGAAGGATATGTTAGCTTGCAGACTTGTGAGTCAGACCAACGTTTATGTTGCTAAGTGGTATATTTTCTCTTTTCTTTAGAATGCCCAACACGTGGAGATAGAGAGTATCCCACTGCCAGAGATGCCGCACGCGCCCTCCAACATCACATCCATCCAAGACATCCCCCTGCCAGGCGCGCAGCCACCCTCCATCCTCAAGAAGCCTTCCGCCTTCAGGTGTGCATACCATGGCATCCAGTGATGTATGGGGCTTCTCATGGAGACTTTAAATGTATGAACAACTTTGGTGATGAACGTAATTAAGGTTACTCTTTGGTTCTTTCGGTAAAGTCACGTAGGTAGAAAAATAAGAGATCACGACGTTTCGATCGCAACACAAGCAATCGTCATCAGGTGGGACAATCACAGCAAGAAAAAATGCTGTAAATTGTCTATTTTGGTTTATAGAGTACATTGGATTTAAACACTGACTTGTAACACATTAAAATGATGAGATGCAAGTGGCCAGGATATCATTACCATAAATAGATTGCTTAGCTATCTTTACAGATCCTTGAGTTTTATTTGTTCTTATCTTTTGGTTTTATGTGATTACGCCAGTTTCTCAAAAATACTCAAATACTCCATTATGGTTTAGACAAACATCACAAATCAGACCCTCCTCAATTCACAGTGTGATTTTATTGGATTAAATAAACATGCATTGAGATTATTGAGATGAATTTTCTGCTATAAATGTAAAAATGGCAAGCCACTTTGTCGTGCTATCATTTGTTGCTTCTGAAAAATAAGTTAATACTTCAATGGGCTTTGCCTGATAGTATGGGGATGGTTTAGTTTTATTTGTATGTTTGGGTGATTTGTTTACCTTGTACTTTGTACTACTATCAAGTTTTTGTATTGTTGTAACGGTCTTACCCACCTCTACTGGACATCTGTGAAAAATAGCTTTATAGCTCATCAGATTCCTCATGTATAAATAAATATTCTGTTTCTGAACTTCGAGCAGTGGTTGAAGCACTGCACTATAATCCTAGTTCGATTCTGGACTATGTCATATCAGTGGTGAGTGATAAATAAACTGGTCTTAAGCCCCCTACAAATCCACACATGAAGTAAAGTGAAGTAATGTTAAACAACTCTCATGCTTGACATGGCAAAGGAAGACCATCCTGCAGTAGATAGACATATGGCTGTAAAATAATGTACTGGATGCTATATACAGCACACTTAATAATTTTGCATTGATACTACTGTTTTAAGTTTTTTGTGTTTGTTCTTTATAGCACTCCGATGTGTTTTCAGGTAGTACCTCTTATAATTTTGCATAATCTCCGATGCTTCGCTCCATATGCTGCAAGCTAATTCATAAACTAAGATTCATACATATCGAAGATCAGTTCTTAAAGTTAGGTTCCTGAATAAACTCCGAGCATGTGGACCAAAGCATGAGATATTCCGAACAACACAGTGTACTACCAGAAAATGCATTGGAGAATTATCTTCTCGTTGACTTGGATTTGCGCCCTCTGTTGGTCACGTGTGACAGTGCGACCAAGGTGGGCCCTGGCGCAGGTGTGATTCGGCTCCCACTGGGCAGGAGGCCCCCAGGACCTCCCCCTGGGCCACCGCCTCCCCAGGTTCTAATGCAAGCAGGCCTGCTGTCTGGGCCTCGTGCAGCCCCCGTGCAGCCAGCTGCTCCCTCGCAGGAAAATGAGGATGATGAGGAAGACGACGATGAGGAGATATACGATCCTGAGGCTGGTAAGCGATCACTGAAATGTCGCTGTTTGCTATGAATTAATATTAAATGTTAGCCCATATTACTGACCGTGGGTGTAATAGTTTACAATGACTGTGATTCTGAAGCGTGTCATGTCCGTAGGAATGATTTATCTGTTTGCCATGAGTCGGGCTTACATTTGTCGCCCCTGCGTGCACCGGAGCAGCCGTTCCAGAGCTGGACGATGAGGACCTCAAGGACCCAAACCTGCATGAGGGGCTGGACGCAGACGGCAGCGAGGACACGGACAACGACTCGAGCGACGACGACGACGATGACGACGACGACGATGATGACGATGATGACGTGGATGAGAAGCGCAAAGAAAAGGATGAAGAAGAACATGACAAAATGTTGCACCAGGACAAAACATCACACCAGGACAAAACATCACACCAGGACACCGCCGAGCGGTCCGGTGAGCCCTTTCCGCCAGAAACTTCTCAGTGGCACCCCTCGTTATAGTTCTCTCGTGCCAGCTCAGCACTTATTCTTCTACGTGTGCGTGCAATGTGTTCTTAAAATAATGTGAGTGGATGTATCGTGTCTCTGCACATATTACATTGTATGTGGAATCCCGAAAAATTGGAAAATAAATCAAAATTGCACTCGCGCTGATTTGTTCTTAGCTCCTTTTCCACACTGAAATCGCCAGCCAGTCTCAGTTTAGTCCTGTCCTGTATAGTAACAACTAGCATTGGATTATGCATCCCAGAATCGGGTTGTAATTTTCATGATTTTAAGTGCTAATTTGACGTTTCTGTCAATAGTTATTACAATACAGTTATATAATGTGTATAAATAAAAAGCAATATTAAAAAATGACCAGCTGTAAATGGCCAAAATTTGGTCTTCATGGAATTTACAGGGTTTTGTGTAGCAGCTATTTTCTGGAAATTCGCCTGGTATATCGATGCCATTGTATTTTGCCAAGTGAGATCACAGCATGTGTGTTGGGTATAACATTATAATGATTACTGGGGAATACGTTTTTGTAAAAATACAATGTGCTTCGTAATTGTTCTGTTACAAATACAAAGTACTGTATGGAGACACATCTAAACAAATACAGCCATGCACTATCAAAAGCATGATATATGGCAGCCTGGACATGGTTTGTAAAAATGTGCACTTATTTTTTTAGCCATTGTGAGTGATTTCTATCTTGGACAAGCCATGAAATGTAATTTAGAAGTAATTAAATATTCCTACAGTCTTTGCACAATGCATGACATTGTGTAGTTATAACCTTATTTACTTAACATCTAATAATAACGTTGATTTATTAAACCTCTAAATATAAAAGGTATTGCAAGACATTGTAAAGAGCTTTAATTAAAAAAAATCTCCCAGACGATACATTAATAACATGTAAAAAAACTATTTAAATACATTGCGATTAAAATAAAATGGCAGTGGGTATGAAGCAGAAGATAGCTCGTGGAAACAGGCCAAAACTGCGTCCAGTTTAATCTCAACATTTCTTTCTCAGGGCGGTCGGTGCGCTTCGCCGATGCTCCAGAGGAGCCTCCAAAACCCATCGTCAAGAAGAAGAAAAAGACTAAAGAGGGCCTCACTCCGTTGCAGGCCATGATGTTAAGGATGGCTGGTAAGGCTTCCTTATAATAAACGTTGCTACACACATTCAAAATTTAAAGATATATTACAATACACAAGATACTTGTGACATTTTCTAGTGCATAGTTCCTATAGGTGTGTATTAAAAAAATATAATTTTCACAAGCTGTCAATGCTAGCTGATGTCATTGGTGGAAATGAATGGTCAAGTCCATTGTTAGGGAATGCAATATATGCCCATATTTCAGCAATGCAGATTCCACATTTATATTGTGCAGTTCGATGTCACCACTGCTTTGCATATTACACTAATACAGAGTTGGATAATGCTTCCAGATTTAGATCAAGGCAAGATCTGCTATTAGCTCAATTAAACTGTTAGTCATGGTGTTACTTAACAAATGTGGGATTTAACTAAACTACAGGGGTTGGTGGTGGAGTGGTTCGCACACTGCTATGAACTCGGAATCCTGAATTAGATTCCAAGCCATGGATGGGCCCCATCTTCACCAACCGGCACTGACCAGTGTGGTGAATTATAATTAATCAACCCCCATGTTGAGAGGTATTCATCTAACAGTGGATTAACAAAATGGCTGAGAAGTAAAGTTGAAGTATACTGATATTCCACTGACCATATTAAAACCAAGATGTAATATTGACGTAATGTACATTTTCTCCGTTACAGGTCAAGAGGTGCCAGGCATCGAAGAGGAAGAAGATGACGATGATAATGATGATGATGAAGACATGGAGGCTGAGCAAGAGGAGAAAAAGAAAGACACGGATGACAGGATGGGCAGGGAGCAGCTAAAGACAGGGCCGATGCCTCCACCTCCTCCACCGGGCATTGGGACGAAACATCCCTCAGCTCCCCCACAGATGCCACATGGACGCATGCTGCCTCCGCCTTCCCAGCAGCCACAACCACCTCCCCACATGATGATGCACCCTCAGGGACCCCCACCGCTCGTGCCCCCTGGCCCACCTCTAATGAGGCCCCCTGGGCCCCCCTCTGGCCCTCCACCTGGGCCGCCTCCAGGTACACGTGTGAATGTTATGAATGCTCTTTTTACTGTTCGCTTGAAATAGCCTCTTACAATATATGTACGGTATTGTCGAGATTATAAGACGCACTTTTGTCCTTGAATTTTTAAGAAAAGGTTGAGGGGGGGGGAGTGTCTTATAATTCAGAGAATACTTAGTCTTCTGGAATATTAGGTTTAATCTAGTGGTTAAAGATCACCTCCTGGAAGATAGTTCTCCATAGCAATGTGTTACCACCCAAAAGACTTCACACCAGCCAATCACCATAATCATCCAGAACACATCTCTTTGTTTTAAGCTGCCATGGTGCAATGGTTAACACACAATCCACAAGGCTCGATGCAATCCTCCGACGCGATATTTGAAACAATGGGTAAGATTCGTAAATCTCCCTTCCTCTTTCCACCCAGCCGTCTAAATGGGTACACAACAGTCAATCAGCAGGATGCATGTGGTCGAGTAAATTGTGGGTATTCCTACTTCTTTCGACCTCTAGCCAGCGTGTGGATATTAGGTCTTCTCGAGGGTTTCTCTTGAACCCTGTCCAGTGGAGGCCCTTCTGTCAGCAGTGGCATGAGCAAGGAATTGCATAGCTGCATCTTTACATATATATTTTCTAGGGATGAGTTTTGAATTGAAAGGTTTTCCCATTTTTAAGGATGATTTAGGGTTTTTCTGGATCATACATTGAAATAATTTAACTTCTCTTTGTGCTAACAAAAGTGACACCATGTGACACCACTTTTGTCAATAAGAGATAGAAGTCATGTTCCAGTGGTGTCTCACTTTCTCATCAATCAGCAACTCAAGAAAATTTTGGATCCAAAATTTCCTATTGAGGCTCAACGTTTGTATTTGAGAATCTCAAACACGTCCCTAGCATTCTATTTTAATTTGTTCTGCAATCAGAATTCAGAATGCATCGTGCGTACAACACAGCTGTTAATGACTTATGGATATTTTACACAAGCAAAAACCTTTAGATGTTTCAATCTGGTTATTAATAATTCATGTTGGTCTGTTGTCGTCGTTCAGGTTGCATTGACGAAGCACCATTTGTTCACCGTGGATTTGTTGTTTGTTTTCCCAGGTGCTCCTCCATTCATGCGTCCGCCAGGGATGCCTGGCATGCGAGGGCCTCTTCCCCCTCGCATGCTTCCACCAGGACCTCCGCCCGGCCGCCCTCCAGGGCCACCCCCTGGTCTGCCTCCCGGTCCCCCTCCCCGCGGACCCCCACCCCGCCTCATGCCACCTGCAATCCCAGGTATTGACACCTCTCACTTGACTACTGAATTAATTATGTTAAGTCTTTCCAACTAAGGTTAAAAGCATTTATGCATTAGGCTGCCGATTGGTTAGTAGCAGAAGGTGACGATATATGTCATAAAACTGATTTAATACAAATTTAAATTTCGTGTAAACATGCATTGCTATAATACCTTATAGAATACTGGCCGAATTGGTTGATTGGTTGCCTAAAACTTGGTGATAAAAATCAGTGTAAAGGAGATCACCCTTTCCTGCCAAGATGATTGTCACAAACTGTACGCACCTCACCTCACCATGATGTCATCATGTGACTTGACACATGTGATGTATGACAGCATCTTTTGAGAATTGTAAGATAATGTTATTATCAGTATTAATAAAATACTTATGAGAATAAGCACATGTTAAAATGCGATCGAGAATTCGTGCATATGCATGGTTTTTCTTATTGGTGGGATAGAATGACTAGGCCATCTTCACACCACCTAAAGTTATTATACTTGTGCTGAATACAATTGATCTTGATGCTGTGGAGTTAACCTATGTTACCCAACCGTGAACAGCAATGTAATTGGCCACCTTAACTATTTAAGACTCGGACATCGGAGCGCTGCTGAGCTGGCACCTCTGATATCCTGAGTTCAAATCCAGGTAAACACTTGTGATGAAGATTGGGTTCTCAAGTGGAGTGAGTTGATGGTCCCAGCCTGGCCACCAAAGACTGCACGAAAAATTATTCACTTAAAATTTGGTTAACTAAATTTCGATAATTTCCTGCTCTGGGAATGAAATATATCTGTTTAATTGTGATGCAATAAACATTACTGTCAGTGGAAGATCAGGTGGGAAATTGCTGCCCCTAATTGGTAGAAGGTCACTTGAAAGGACTTTCAGAGGTAGCCTTACATCTGGTAGAGATCAGCTGATAAATGAGTTGCTTGTGTGTTTAGGGATGCTTCCTCCACGCCCGGGCATGATGCGCCCACTGTCCATGGCCCCCCCGCTGGGGCCTCCTGGAGTTTTCCCCCCTCCTGGTCAGCCAGGCGGTCTTCCCAATCCTGGAGTGCTCAGTGCCCCTCCGAGCCTCATTCAGCGGCCAAAACCAGATGAGTCGGGTGGCCCTGGAGTGCCCAGTATAGCGGTGCAGCAGCAGCAGCAACAGCAACAAAGTCAACAGCAAAAGCAGCAGCAGCCACTCGCTGGTGCCACCATCGAGAAGAAAGCGACAGCGGGCGCTACAATCAGCGCCAAGCCACAGATCACCAACCCCAAAGCGGACGTGACCCGGTTCATGCCCACTTCGCTGCGCGTCAAGCGAGAGGCCAAGGGCAGGGGCGCCCAGCGGCGGGCGGATGAGGACATAGCCCAGCGGCCCCTGCAGAAATCCAGCGTGGCCTCCGTATCTACAGCCACCATGGCCACTAAGGATGACATGTACGAGTCTTTCATGAAGGAAATGGAGGGCCTGCTGTAGAAAATGCGTTTTTGTATGTTATTTTGTTTAAAAAAAAAATCTGTTTTAACATAAGCTCCACTCGAGAGGAAAGCAGCCCCACTGAATTACATTTTGCGTTGTGTGGTATGTAAAATTGACTGTTTTTTGGCCATTAAACAATTCCTTTTGAAGTATTTCCATGCATTATTTTCCACTTTCGTGATAAAACTGCCTTTGTCAGTGTGGTAAACTAAACATCGCACACAAATCCACTTCAAGATAAAATTGGGTTATATCAAGCAGGGAATACAACCACCGGGCAATGTGTGCAGAGGTTCGCATTGTGTTAAATCATGTTTCCAATTTCTTATCGATTATTTCAATTGATATAAAATTGTGAAAATAATTGCATAATTTTAGTATTTTACATGCCTAAATTGAACATTCCTTCATAACAGTTATTGCCTTCAGGAAACAATTTCGAAGTGTACAAGCAGAGGTTACTTTTTGTGCTTTCGAAAGGCAGATGCACATGAGTTGTGGTTCACATGTTGGCAAAGCAATATTTAGGTCTAGCAGAACACTCTCCCTTGGCAGAGCCAACGCAACAACCCATAGAGAACTTCGCCAGTCTTACGTGGCCTTTTTCCAACATGAATCATGCTCGTGATATTGGAGGGTTATAATAGGGCCATGGTTGGGTGTCTTATTTTCATTTCATATTTAATGGCAGACGAGCAGTTATGTTTTTTTAATTTACAAAGGAATTGGTGACCTTGCATTTTGAGTTTTAAATTCTACATCAGGGGTCGGCAACCAAAATGACAATGGGCCTTTTTTTCTAATTCATTATCAAACTATTTGAAGAACTGTAAATGCGTGTGAATACGACACGGTGGTCCTTATTAATAAAGTCAGGAAGTAGTCCTTAAAGGGACCCATGTGGCTCTGGAGCCGCAGGTTGCGAACCCTGTCCTCGATAGTGTACTTTTTGAAATTGAAACATGCTTGCATTTGACATGTCCAAAGTGAAGTTTGCATTCTCAGTTGAGCATGGGTGGTGCTCTCCATTGGCAGCCTTGAGCCAGTGGTCGAAATTACACATTCCTGTATTGGGGAAAAATCTGAACATATACTCCGTAAACATTGGCGTTCCTTTGGTGATACAGTACAATTAAATGGTGCGTGTGCAGGAGCAGTATTTAATCATTTTAATGGTCACTAGAAAGCATTGCTTGGTAATGCTAAACCTACCCACTAATCAAATTAGTTATGCTGCAAAAATAACGCAAATCCCTGCAAGTTTTCGTGTACAAGGTATCAAGTTAATGTTATGGTTGAAGAAAATATCGTGAAGTTGGGTTTGAAAAATTACATGGCTCAGCCATCCAGACGTTGAGGCAATAAACAATTGACTCTTGTGCATGTGGCTGCTGTGATGTCTGTTTAAAAGGATCTAGCATTGTTTTCATTATAGATGCTTGGCATTGGAACAGCTCATCTAATTTATTTCTATTTTCATTGACTCTTTGTACGTCCATTTAAAGGCATCATATTGCCATCCATCTTGCATATGGCAGTTATGCCTGTCAATCCAGATACTTCATGACACTTTTTTAAAATGGTGTTTGCGTTTTTTTTACGTCAACGCTTCGTTACATAGAAGTCCTTGTACATTTTCTCACAACGTAGAACGTTGCAGAAAATACATGCTTTTGTAATAGGGAGTCTCTTGACAGTTATTACACCCAAAAATTTGTTTTTTAAGAACACTAATGTCTGGCCTAAAACTGAAATATATATTTTTTGGGTCTTTCGGTAAAGTCACGTAGATAGGTTAAAATTAATAAAAAAATAAAATAAACAAAAACCACGACGTTTTTATCACAACACAAGTGATCGTCATCAGGAGGAAAAAGGAGGGGGAAAGCTGCTGAGGCAGACTGTTTTAAAGGTTTAAAATGGGTGTAGCCCAAGGGTCATAAAAGAAGTGGGTGGGGCTAGTGATGTTAATGTGAGAAATTTGCATGTTAATGTAAGATCGGAGAGCCGCCGCAACGTCGAGGTTGACGCGGGGAGGTGGCTATGTTGGTGTGAACAAATTTTAACCTGTTAATGTAAAATCGGAGAGCCGAAGCCACGGGGAAAAAAAAAAACACTAACATCGGAAGGTGGCAGGATGGGAACATGTTTAAAACAGCCTGCCTCAGCAGCTTTCACCCTCTTTTTTTCCTCCTGATGACGATCGCTTGTGTTGTGATCGAAACGTGGTTTTTGTTTATTTTATTTTTATTAATTTGAACCTATCTACGTGACTTTACCAAAAGACCCAAAGAATATGAATTCCTGCAGTCACGAAAGCTTTTAAGTCAAGATTGAAATATATATGTACAGTGAGGGAAAAAAGTATTTTATCCCCTGCTGATTTTGTACATTTGCCCACTGACAAATAAATGATCAGTCTATAATTTTAATGGTAGGTTTATTTGAACAGTGAGAGACAATAACAACAAAAATCCAGATAAACGCATGTCAAAAATGTTATAAATTGATTTGCATTTTAATTAGGGAAATAAGTGTTTGACCCCCTCTCAATCAGAAAGATTTCTGGCTCCCAGGTGTCTTTTATACAGGTAACGAGCTGAGATTAGGAGCACACTCTTAATGGGAGTGCTCCTAATCTCAGCTTGTTACCTGTATAAAAGACACCTATCCACAGAAGCAATCAATCAGATTCCAAACTCTGCACCATGGTCAAGACCAAAGAGCTCTCCCAGGATGTCAGGGACAAGATTGTAGACCTACACAAGGCTGGAATGGGCTACAACACCATTGCCAAGCAGCTTGGTGAGAAGGTGACAACAGTTGGTGCGATTATTCGCAAATGGAAGAAACACAAAAGAACTGTCAATCTCCCTCGGCCTGGGGCTCCATGCAAGATCTCACCTCGTGGAGTTGCAATGATCATGAGAACGGTGAGGAATCAGCCCAGAACTTCACGGGAGGATCTTGTCAATGATCTCAAGGCAGCTGGAACCATAGTCACCAAGAAAACAATTGTTAACACACTACGCTGTGAAGGACTGAAATCCTGCAGCGCCCGCAAGGTCCCTCTGCTCAAGAAAGCACATACATGCCCGTCTGAAGTTTGCCAATGAACATCTGAATGATTCGGAGGACAACTGGGTGAAAGTGTTGTGGTCAGATGAGACCAAAATGGAGCTCTTTGGCATCAACTCAACTCGCCGTGTTTGGAGGAGGAGGAATGCTGCCTATGACCTCAAGAACACCATCCCCACCGTCAAACATGGAGGTGGAAACATGCTTTGGGGGTGTTTTTCTGCTAAGCGGACAGGACAACTTCACCGCATCAAAGGGACGATAGACGGGGCCATGTACCGTCAAATCTTGGGTGAGAACCTCCTTCCAACAGCCAGGGCATTGAAAATGGGTCGTGGATGGGTATTCCAGCATGACAATGACCCAAAACACACGGCCAAGGCAACAAAGGAGTGGCTCAAGAAGAAGCACATTATGGTCCTGGAGTGGCCTCGCCAGTCTCCAGACCTTAATCCCATAGAAAATCTGTGGAGGGAGCTGAAGGTTCGAGTTGCCAATCGTCAGCCTCGAAACCTTAATGACTTGGAGAAGATCTGCAAAGAGGAGTGGGACAAAATCCCTCCGAGATGTGTGCAAACCTGGTGGCCAACTACAAGAAACGTCTGACCTCTGTGATTGCCAACAAGGGTTTTGCCCCCAAGTACTAAGTCATGTTTTGCAGAGGGGTCAAATACTTATTTCCCTCATTAAAATGCAAATAAATGTATAACATTTTTGACATGCGTTTTTCTGGATTTTGTTGTTCTTATTCTGTCTCTCAATGTTCAAATTAACCTACCATTAAAATTATCGACTGATCATGTATTTGTCAGTGGGCAAGCGTACAAAATCAGCAGGGGATAAAATACTTTTTTCCCTCACTCTATCCAACAATTTGTGAATGTGCATTCAAATTGCATTTTAATATGCTTTCACATGAATTTTTTTACTTTGCAAATGGTGAGTATTTTACAAATATTAAATGATACTTGTGAATGCCTGTCTCTACAATAATAGTTATTTCATTCTCCAAACTTAGAAAACTATGGTAGTAAACAAGTGTGTTGTCATCAAGCTTGTGGAGAATAAATACATTTTAAAATGTGACATTTGTTATCTGAAGCAATCACTTTGGCTGCGCAATATTTTATATATCAGCCATGTTGCATGGGAATTTGTATGCAGCCCACGATGTGTTTTAAAGACCTCGAGCATTTATATTGATAACCAGCAATTTTATATTTTAAATGTGACATTTTACATTTCGATTAGGCACATCATGTACCTTCTAATCCATTGAACTGATGAAGCCGTCCTGCCATGCCTCATGTGTGAAGTTGTTAACCTGGAAAGCCACTCTAAATCCCATAACCGTGATGTGACTAATGATTTCCATAAATTCCTGCTAAAGCCTTTCAGATTTGAAACTGTTCAGAAATTGGATTCCACCTTCACCTAAAGGGACTGATAATATGAAACAAATTGCAAACGATTCATCTAATTATTTATATCATGGGACTTCCTTTGCCAGCACCAAAATATAATATTCGGGTTTCTGGTATGGTCGTCTCTGGTGTGGACCAATCAGTTTCAAGGACAATGCATATATTATCAGTGTTTTTTTGTTTGTATTTTCACCACAAGTATTGTGGTTAATGCACACATGATTCCTTTATATTCTTGGTTCTTCCGGTAAAGTCACGTAGAAGGGAAACAATAAAATAATAAAAATATAAAACAATAAAATTCACACGACGTTTCGACTGCAACACAAGCAATCATCATCAGGTGTGAAAACCACAGCAAGAAAATTTGAAAAAAGTGGCGGGTTGTTTTTAACGTTAGCACCACGGATAGCGATTTGGTTTGGTTTCAGTTTTGTTGCCAGAAAAAAAGAGGAAAAACCCTAATATAGGTGTTAAGATGTTAAGATCCCCCACTCTTTTTGTGTGATATACCCTCTATGCACACCATTTCAAATTAGCAATATGTATATAATACCGATAAACGGATGGGTACGGTTTTTAATGTTTGTATTGAGACTAATTTAAGTTTTAGATTGCACCTTACATATTTCACGAGCATATCCTAGTTGAATATACAGGCTTATGTGTAAATAAATCTTGTTTCACTTATCTCATGCACCGTATAACAAGCATTACCTGCACCTGCGAGGTATTCAGCGCACATTCCTTGCGCATAATGCGTCCCTCGGTATTGGCTTTCAAGAGGTGAAAACTCGTATTGCATGGGATGCAAGGCACAAATTGCATATCTAATTTCGAACGACCTCTCGCAAGAAACTGCAGATCAACCACCACTTGAGCATCAGTATTCAAATACGGCAGCTTCCATTTTGTGAATTTGCAATTAAATAAGAAAACAGCAGCAGGAGTATAGATTACCGCATATGGTGCTGCGCTATGAAAAGGTTACATTCACAGCGCTGGCTAATGAGCAAGATTTAATCTGAAATTAATGAACCTGCATTATAATGTAGGGGGATGATGCATGCAAATTAGTTTAGGGATGCAGAAAATGAATAAAAGTGCATCGTTTGAATTGAAGCTATTTGATTAATATTATCCGTTTGGTCATCAGTGGTTCATTTTAAAAGCGTGGCATCTCACAGTAGGCCTTTCATGCCCCACTCGTTTATACATACATTAAAATTAAACATTCAGTAACTGCGGCTAATTGGTGTTTATTCAAATATTGTAGAACCTTCACAAAGGCCAACTTAGATGAATGCATGATGATCACTTCATGTGCTTTTAAGAAGCAAATGCGTATTAAGTGTAACAGAGGACATATACAGGTTTATGCACATTTAGTTTTTCGTGCTAAAAATTTTAATGTGCAAAAAACATTGTGATTTTGTGGAACGGGCTTGACCAACAGGGAAAATGTATAGAGGTGGTACCGTTGATTTTGCAAAGACAGCCTCAAACAAAAGTAACCATTGAGTCCTATGATTCAAAATTCTGTGGTTCCTGCAATTCCTCGTAATTGTGGAGAAGTCTATTTGGGTCCAGTATGTTTAACGTTCAAAGTAAAAGTGATTATTATTGGCCAAACGGGCTCTAGATTAATTTAACAATGCATTGATTAATCGATAAATATATTGTTTGCACTCTACATACAATGGTGCGTGTAAGGTTTATTTTATTAATTGTATAACAAAGAAGACTGCAACGTTGTGATCAGTATAAACGAGTTAAACAAGTAATGTACAAAAAGCTCACTAAACAACACACTTGTTTACGCCGCACGATGACAATCTTCTCGACATCAATAAAGTGAGGTCTTAGCAAGCGACATTGA